TATAAAATTTATTCAAATATCTCATTCCGACTATAAGTCTGCGAAGTCTGAAAACGTCAGTTTTATTACATAAAAGAGTAAAACAAAATAAACATATTAAAACTAACTTTTAAAAAACTTTTGCATGTATGTTTAAAATTCGCAACTGTATCTCAAAAACGGACTTTAATCTATAATATAGTGCATTTTGAGGAAAATATGTTACTATATTAATGTAATTCCACAAATTGAGTTATTGAGTACGTTATGAGTTATTTTATTTAAAAAATTCAGGCATTATTACATTTTAGTATTGATACCTATTTCATTATTTGTTAGCTTTACATTTATCTGCGAAATTACCATGTCGGTTTACAATAAAACCGTTTGCCTTAAAAAAATACCTTTTTTTTATTTTCATATTTTTAGTACATATTTCTCATTTTATTTAATCAATTTAAACCTCTTTATTGCGAGGTTCGCTGTCATTTAACTTATCACATTCGAACTCCTCGATTCGTAATCCATCCAAAGATCTTACTCTGCTAGGAGGAACGTAGGCTTTCCTCAAATAGTTTCATTAATAAATATACGATTAGGTGAACCACAATGCTAGCTTGCATTTAATACTCCTTGGAATCCCAAAACAATTTGTTCCTGTCCCTTCCATTTTATACCCATAGGAAAAAAAATATTTTCCACCATTTCGTGGGGGCGGCCATCTTAGATTTATATTTAGGATAGTGAACTGTGTTTAACTTGTCAGACCCTTTCATTCGATAGCCATATTCATGGGATTGCAAAAAAATATCCTCCATTTTGTAGCGTCAGCTATCTTCAATTTGCAGTAACTTTTGAATCAAAGGCGTATTCCAAATTTCAGATAAGTCGGTTATTACGAAGCTGGTTACATTTCAATTATTTAATTTAACCCAACAAAAAAACAAACTGAGTAATTTAAACAAAACCATTTCCATACGTAAAAAGACTTGCTGAAATTGTACCGCTTTTTATGTAGTCTTTTCGTTCTTGTGACTTATTCTTTAATACGACTGGGTAAATTTGTTTCTCAGAGCTAGAACCGCTAAACGGTTCTTATAAAATTTCTTTTGTGTGTTACTTAATAGTAAAATATTACAGTTTGGCATAACTTTAAAAGACGTTTTGTAATAAATCAATAATTAATTATATTTATTGATTTAACTTTATATTTTCTTTTATCTCAATGTTGGTTTTAATTTGATACGCCGCCAGTATTATCGCCGCGTATCATACGTCTATTACAATCCAATTAACAATAATCCTCTGAATTCGTTAATCTGAATCAAACAAAAAAAAAACTAAAACTAGAAAAGCATTAAGTAACATTAAGATCTAATTTGAAAAATATATGACCTTATTTAATATTTAAGCCACTAATTTACAATTTGTTTTATTAGTAAAAAAATAAAAATAGATAGCATAAAGAATAATAAAACACATTTATGTAGTTGCTTTATATGTAATAAAGTTTGTGATCTGAATTAATACTGCAGAAAGAAATCTCATCAAAAAAGTTTCGAATAGCTTTTACGACTTTGTTTTTTCTCAAAAAGATATTAAAAAAAAATATAAAAAAAATCTCTACAAAATGCAAATGAAATTATTATTGGTATTATTTTATGGAGACGTACATAAATAATACGGAAATATTATTGTAATATGCTCCTTTTTCGTAATCGGTAAATAAATTTAGTACGACGTCACATATTGAGTAACCCAGCTAGTAGCAGGGGTCGCCAACTGGGGGTACTGCGCGTTATATCGATTGCGGCGAGACACGGAACGACTCACGACAGAAACAGTGCCATCACATACAATTAATTATTTATATAGAATTTTTCCTATTAAACTTACCAAGAACATAATTTATGTTGGTTACATCTAATAACTATGATATTAAAAGTCAAAATACATGTAACACTTCTGCAGTGGTAATTCTAATATTATTTATATATATATCTACATATGGGCTTAATTTTTCCTTTAATTACTCAAAACTATTAACAAAACAGTTTGGTAAATGATGCAGTAATACTTGTGTAATAATTGAAAAACTCAGAGTATTTTTAAATTCTTATGAAAATGTTATTTTTGTTAGTCTCCAAATATACACTTCCTGATTAAGTCATATGAAATCTTTAAGAAATTCATCAAAAAATCCTATTAATCGACAAATATAAAACATATTTTTAACATTTTATTGCCGTTTAAATCAATTTCCTTGTTGGTGTCAATATAAAAACATTACTAATAAAAAAGCCTGCCTTAATTGTGTTCAGGTTTAAGGAAGTGTACAAGCTCACTGTAATTCAATTAATTTTACAAAATGACAGTCGAGAATAAATCCTCTTTGAGGTTTTATATCAGACCTTGGGTAAAAAACATATTTTGTTCCAGTACAACGGTTGAAGAAGAAGGTTTGAAGATCTCCTTTTTTTCAATTAAATTAAATATCAAATATTTAAGAAACTTTAAACCCATTAAATTAACTAAGTTGAAAGATTTCTTTCCATGTACATATAAAAAGAAACTAAATTGTTTACAATTATTGTTTCATTTGACTCTTTAGTAAATAATTATAGAACAATTTATAAAGATTTAGGACTTGTCCCTCCAAAATAAATTATTTAAATAATATTTATGTAGTTCCTTTAACTTATATAAGCTTAACTTGAACCAGTTAAGGTACTCTACACATTTTCCCTATCCGCTAAGTATTTCTTTTAATTTTAACCATATAATTCATATAGTAGATAATTGAAAGTTTACATATATGTGGCTTAATTTTTAGCAAAATTTTATTTTACCTTAAGAAAAATAAAAAAAAATTACTCCAAGTTTGATACTTTTAACAAAATTTAAAACACAGTAACAAATATATGTGTAAGTATATGCATTTTTTTTTAACTACACTAATGCCATAATTAGACTGTGTCCGAAATTTGTTTAAAATATGAAACATAGCCATTAACAGAAGTTTAGTAATCTCTGTGTTTAATATGTTCAAACTAATCTCTTAAATACGTAAACTCTAGACGGTCACTATTGAAACATTGGGAAATAATCGTTTCATTAACAAACGAACGCCTTCTCTAAATATTTACTTACTTGTGCTTATTTTTAATACTCAGTTACTTGGACTAAGCCTGGTACGGTAGCCCTACACACAGAACACAACACTTATGATCCCTTTCATTATACACTTTTTAGTATCTCACACAAAAAAGAAGGAATAACACAATAGCATCATATTAGCCTTTCGTAATTAGTACAAATTCACAGCATCAATGATCACCAAAGCCTGGACTAACGACTTGATCTTTGTAGTTCACTTTGACAGATGTCGTAAACCGCGTTCCGAAGGCGTTAACCGAAACGTACTCAATATTGACACGCATCGAATATACTAAACTATAAGCTTAACAATGCCATACACAGCCGCAGTAGAATAAACCTTTCATATCCGGATTATTTTAAAAGTAGCCATTTTATAGAATCTAATATGACAAGATAGTGATTTTCAATTTGGTGGACCTATCAAATGATTCATACGGATGCGTTCAATATATAAAAAAATTGTTTTATTTTATTCTTTAAAATCTCATTTTATCCGTATTTTTATAAAATTAATATAAATACTATTTTTATCTTTAATGGAAATAATATTTTTGAAAAATAATTCAAGAAATTTTTTAAACATCTAAAAAGCGCCATCTAGGTTACGTTTGTAGTACTACCTAGTCAACTAAGGGTAATATTGTAATAGTCTTTTTATTAACAGATGTCAGAGCAACAGTGTGATAAAGTTTATTTCACCGTGCCGAGTCTGTTGAATTAATACGAGTTTGTCTAACTATTTTAGATCTTTCTAATTATTTCCCTTTATTCATACATTTGTATAAATACTAACGACTAAAATTAAATTTTAGGCCCTCAACATTTGCAGAATATCACTAAATTAAATTAAATAAAAGTAATAACAAGGTTTGAGGTCTACACAAATATGTGTTTATGAAATATGTAAGCATTAAAGAAACAACTTTAGATTCCACAACTGCATTTTTCCAGGGACTAAAATTTTTTTCATATCCGTTTAGTCGTTAGTGGTTATTTTTTTATGTTCTAAACTTTTTTGAGCACGTTTTTTGTGACTATAGACGATAATTTCAAAGACGTTCAAGACTTAAAATTATAATCAAGAGAAACATTTGCAATAAGATTAATCAAAATAGATTTTTCTTAAATCTAAAATATTTTACAATAATAACTGAAACAGCATTGTTCAGTAAAGTTCGTAAGGCCACGAAATAGCACAACTTTAAAAATTTCAATAATACTGTGACTAATCATTAAATTTTCCCCGAGATTAATAAACATCTTACATTAGATAAATTTAGATGTTTGCTTTGATTATCTAAAGTTAACCTTGACAGTCAGGTAGCTAAATGTTTAAAAATTTGATTACTTTTTTTCTGAACGTATTCAGCAAAGATTTTATAATAAAATATTTTATGTTACTTTATTCCATAAAATTGCTTTATGAGAATGTTTTAAAAGTTTTATTAGTATTTAATTGAGGTTCAGGTAACAATAGTATAGAAATGAAATATTAATATTATTTAAAATTTAAGAGGATCAATTCTTGTAAGAATGTTAATTCTATTCAGATAAAAAATCCTACACCATCATAATGATACTGGCAACTAAGAGGTATTTCTTCATAGCTCATATACAGGAAAAAAATAAACACCAAATGTAGGTAGGAAAAAACTTTATTTAAATATGCACTGAAAAAAACTTATACAACTGTATGTTTCCAACATTATCACTAGCTTTGGTAAAAGTACGAGAGCATCGTACACAAACTCCATGGTGTTACCAACATTCAATAACCTAATTATACAAGATAGTTGTGCTAAAGGGTACATATAAAATAATATAGGACAGTGTGCGGGCTCAGCCCAGCAGTCTTCAAGAGCTTATTGTACCTTGTACACTCTTGTGCAAGTTACATCCTTAGCTGTCATAACCTGAAAAGATATAGAATATATTTTAATATTAACTCTATATATAATATGAATTTTAGAACACATATACTTAAATTTTTGATATTTTTTTTCAAGTCTTACTATAATGAAACTCAAGGAATTGATCGTTACAGATAAAATATTAGGATTCAAATGCACAAATAAAAATAAATCTCCTTTTATTGAAAAAAAAAACAAAAACAAGATGATTCAAATGCACAAAAAACTCGAAGGAGTTTCAATCATAAAACTCCTTTTATTAAAAAAAAAAATCAAAAACAATTATCAAAACTCACAGCCTTCATCTCTTCGGGGCCGAATTCCCTGACGTAGGTCACCTCCAGCCCGTCAGCGGCCTTCTGAACCTGTTTCAAGGTGTTCCCTTCGAAGGTGCAAACGGACTTCACCTGCAAATAAACAAACATTAATAATAACATACATTTAAATTAAAATATTGTGTTGCCATTCCCTAGTAAGTAAAACTAGGAAAATGGTAGCAAGCAATAAGACAATAAATAAAGATTAATTGAGAATTTAAATGTATTGAATGGCTCTGATGGTGCAATTAGAACATAATTGTCAGAATATTAAAAAGTACTCGGATTTCTTAATATGTTTAAATAAGAGTACACGTCTTTCCTTTCAAGTAAGTATAATATACTCCAAATATGGATAAACTGGCTTTAGATTCACTGAAGCAAAATCCGTTCTATATTATATAGCTAACAATGCTCATTGTAATCCTTCCGCGAAATCCTGCTAATGTTTGAAACCTGATTGGCTGTACCTGTCAATTGTTTTGCTCTTTTTATAATACCAAAATACAGAGGAATTAAAAATTTGTTCTTATTTTAAAGATAATATCTTGACTCAATGTATCCGATGTATATCTTCTAAGAAGCTAATCAAAGGTAATCAGATAAAAGAAATAAAACCTCAATATATATAGCAATAAGACGATATTACCTTGGCACCGTCAGCGCGCTCCTCATCAAATTCCTCGCCGGGCTTGAACTTCATCTCCGTGGTCTTGAAGGTGGATGACGTCACCAGGACGAAGTTGTCCCCATCCTGACGAAGCTCCACAGTCGGAGTAACAGCATTAGCGGCCTTACGAGTGATGAGACCGACGCCTGAAAAAAAAATACAAAAACCTTTCAAATAGGTATAAAAAATATCTATTTTTCCTGTCATTTCATATGACAATTCCTCTCAAAATTGTTCCTCAATTTGTACATCGTATCAATTACAATTCTAATCATTACAGGTTACGAAGCAATCTCACCTAATGCCTTCATAAATTCATCGAAGTTTTTCGATTCAATTAATTTGTATCTCTTCCCAGCGCATAGAAACATTTCTAAAACTAACTTGTAATAGTAACAAGATACTATCTAGCGGTTTAACTTATCTGACAAACCACAACGCGGTGAAACGGTAAAACACGGAGACATTGCGATATTTGATAAAGAAGGTTTACTTCAAAGGAGGTTACCTTTAAAAGAGGTTGCTTGTATTAAAAAGGAAATAAATATGTACATACTAATATTCAACGAAAGAAAAAATGTCAAGACAATACAACCATTTATCACTACTAATTGTTACGATTAATTATTCAATATGAAAATATTATGAACGTAGTCAGCGCTCGGCAATACATTACAATAGATGTTTTAAATGTGTCAAGTGCATCTCAAAACAAACATCTAATAATAAATACCTATTTTAACATTATGACTCACTGGTAAAATAAACTTTGTACAGATGCAACATCAGAATATAATAAATAGCTGTTTTTATATAGAAATATAATTCTAATAGATTTGAAGGTTAAAGTCAACTCACAAATCATAGCCCACAATATACATACATTATGACAAACATCTTCCGTAAAACCTCATCTATATAATAATTCTAATCAGATTAATACATTATACATCAATAGAAACTCTTTGTATCTACCAGAAGACCATTATAAGCAAGGCTTGTTAGCGTTTTTAACAGGGAGCATTGAAAAAACAATCATTAGTTTTGTTCTTCCCTCGCTCAATGAGATAACGTTCGGATCAGGAATGTTTCTAAGAAGTTGGTATGAAGTTGTTTAACTGCTTATTGCAGTACCGCATTCCCAGTCTAACAAGAGAAGCATCCACTTTTTTAATTAGATAACGGACAATAATCGTAACAATATTGAAGCATATAAAACAACGAAACCACATCCATAAAATAAGAATATCCATTTCACTATAACATATGAGACATTTCATTTAACTTTTAATTATAAAACAATCATAAAGTGTTCATTGATGAATAACACAGGCTCTATTGAAGCAATATGCGTCACTTTGTAAACAGTAGCTATTGAGAAATTCTCATTAAACTGTCACAGAGAAAAGGCAAATATTACAGACGGCAGCATTGTGTACGTTCCACAGAAAAAAATTATTATACTTTACGAATGATGTCATATTCTCACCATTTTAAATTAAACGAAGTACCTATGTACACGAGTGATGTTTTTTTATATTTGTTTATTGATATTAGTTTTCATTTGTGCCTAAATAATCGAGTAGCTGAAGCTATGAATCAATATCAAATGCTCCTCTCCTATTGGCTGTTTCGTGGGCGCGGTTCGTTTTCATTGGCTAACTCGGGTGGTCCCATGCGGTGTCAAGGACAACGACCTTAGAATTGGCGTAATTTTTCAATTGAAAATCTATTTATTTAAACAGTAAGAACTTATAAACGACTAGATTTTTTTACAATATTGTTGTATTTAAAATATAAGATTTTAAAGTTGAAAAAATGTATATAAATGAAAAGATGAAGAAATGAACATTAAATATTTATGTCAAACGATATATTTCCTCGTCTATAAATACGTTGGCGGTTGGCGGTTGGCGTTGACGCCGACGCGGAGCGGTGACACCACACAAAGTACAGTGGACATTGATCTCGTTACATAGTACATTCGCATAAATAGATCATTCGCTAAAAAATTATTTTCAAGACCAAAGTCTAAAGAAAAAATTAAATTGTCAAAAATCTTTTCCCACAGTTTGCATTACAAAACATAATGCTTAGGTATTTTATAATATTTACGTAAGTATAATATTAATGTTGTTAACGCGACGCCATAACATCGCACGTATTATGCTGGAACATATCATCGATAATGTGGTTTTCCAGTAACGTATTTGACGTGTGAACACTAAAAACAAATAGAGTACCTCGTTCAATGAGGCGGTATTTAGAGCATCGTTATCGCTGGCATAAAATCATAAAACTGTTGCTTCAATAAAAATTTAAATATCGAATAGTATTTAAAGGCGCACCGGACAAGGGGTCACATTCAACCTAAAGTAAGCGTCTCGGCTCTTATTGACTGAATTGAAGCTGATTGCTGGCCATTGCAGCAATTGCTGGCGACCAATAGTAGCTAATCGTACAACTATGCCGGGATATTCTCATGCGAGCCTAATTACATGAAAGGATCGTCCGATCTTATGTACTTTTGTTGTACCCTTCCGCTGCTTCCTTTGCCGGTTATTTGCAATTTAAGACGTATTCAACTATGCAATCAAGTCCAATATGCGATTGTGGTTTCATTATGCTGGCTGAGTCATGTATGTACTATTTTAAAACATTCTGCGGTCGTGATACTAACCTACATTAAGTTATGTAATATATTATACATAAGTATAATATAAATAATCCGCCAATAAATTTCTAATGCCAAGTTAAGAACTAGATCCGCGTAAGAAATTAGTTAATCTTTATTGCTTTACGTACTTTGATCACAATAATATGTTATATAATATTTCATATGATAAAATTTATATTACATAGTAGGTATACTTGGGTAGGTAAGTGTTTGAAATAGAAAATTATACGTAATACAGTTATGCTAGAGGAGATTGTTTGTGCCGGAGATAAGATCGTCTCCGGCGGTAATGTCAGCGACTTAATTTTCACAGCGTTGTTAAATTCGAGATTACCGAACTCATGTTTGCGATGCACTTGGCCAAGGTGATACAGATAAGATATACACGATAAATTTTTTATCTACATTCAAAGAGAATCCACCCATAGCTATAATAATATTTATTACAGACTTTTATTGGAAAATTATTTTCTATGATCGATCTCAATAATTTATATTATTTTTTTTTATATTATTCAAACCAATTAATACCATCTCCATGAACAATATGCGTTAAGCACAGATAATAAAACGTTCAACTCTATTTTATCGGAATCGTTCGAGGAGAACAAACTTATTGATTCTATGTATGTGAGTTATTAACATATGAACCGTTATGACATTTATGAAACTAATGAACCACAGTTACTAACGAAGATAAAAGAAAAAAATATATAAGAGAAACAAATGACTGTATAATTAGAGAGCAAATATTACAAAATATGGTAAAAAAAAAACTGAAAAACCCTTAAAAAATATATTTTACTGATTTTTATCTGTTTGTTATAATTTAAATTTATCTGGAAAATTCATGGAAGATACAGTGATGACCAAGCGTGACGGTCATGATCCAAAAGACATATGAAACATAATTCATATAGATTTTAACAAAAAATGGATAAATTTTGCGGCAAAGACATTACAGCCACACTTTTTTTCAAACAAATTACACGCTTGATAAAGCATAGACGGATTCGCGATTCAAAGTCAAAAATAAAATACACAATTTAAATTTTTGACCTCATACTAAAATACACAATTATAGATTTGAAAAAATAACGGATTTTTTTTCAGTAGTAGTAGTATTGAGAAATTTTAAGTTATTAATTTCTTTTTATCATATGATTATTTATGTTTAAAATTAAGCCCTCCACAGCACTTTCTTGCAAAAACTACCGTACAAGCATTATATGTAAGACTACCCACACAGTAGGAATTCGATGAAGCCATAATTGTGATGTCATTTTTGATAACAGTTATTAACTTAGCGAAAAATATGCTGATGTATAAACAAGCTCTCAAAGGCATCGTACATAAGACCTTTGGCAGGTCTAATAAAACGATAGCCTGTCTCTCTATCGATAAATCGACATGAATCAACGTACATATGTAGGTACATCCTTATCAATTTAAATATGCATTCCGATGGTATCTTTACTAACCTATGTTATTATGATTAATTATTACATACATTGACAGTCATATTACGTGTAACAAATAATGCAAGTTTTTATTTTACTAATACGAATTTATGGGGTACGTTTTACGAAATTCGTGTAAGTGCTGCCATCCCAAAAAAAGCTTGTTCGTGAAAACCTGAAATCCGACTGCCTTTTTAGGTTTGCATAATTCTTTAGACAGTTTAACAATGTAGCCTGTATAATACTAAAATTGTGGGTAGACTTGAAAATAAAAAGTTACGATGTGAAAATAAGAATTTGCTAAGAATATTTTGAATAGTCAAATATTTTTCCAGATTTTTATTCAGATTATAAATATTTTCATATAGCAATACTTGAAATGTGCTAGGATCTTATTTTGCATTACAATTTTTTCTGCTACCCTCGCTCGATACTATAGTTAGACTTATCGTTACTGAATCACACTAATATGGCGCTGGGCGGGTAGGTTTATCTGTTAAACATGTAATACTCAATAAATCTCTCTTCTTATAATAAATAAATATCATACATAAGCAAAGGTGCATTTTTAAAGACAAAGAAAATTAAAAGATAATAGAAAATTTGTTAGTGAAAGACGTTTGAAAAATAAAATTCAAAATATAAGTATCTATAAAACCAAAAGCAAATATAGTCATTAAAAGTAGTTTAATTTTTTTAGATTTTGAATGACCCATTCCATCAAAATTTATTCAGTAAAATATTGAAAAAGCTAAAACTAACAAAATATGTACATTAAAATTATAATCAAGAAGTTACATTAAAAAATTTAAATATAATAAACAAGTTCGCAACATATTTACCACGTTTATTTTATGAGCTCATTTTTTTTAATTAATGAATATTTTTCAATGTATTAAAAACCATTTAATTACCTATAATAAAAAAAATCACGAACACCAAGCATTGCAAGTAAATGAAGATGTGGGTAAAATTAAGATTGCGAGAAAAAAAACTGCATGGCGTTGTAACGGATAAAAGCCGGCCGGTTTGGATTCGTCTAAAATGTTTTTAAATAACGCTAGTTAAATAAAAAACAACTCACCGATAGTCTTCATGAACTCATCGAAGTTCTCGGAGGAGACCATCTTGTATTTCTTGCCAACGAATTCCATTTTGAATATCTTTTTAACGAGAGCGAAGTAGAGACGTGTTCACGTTGTGCCGTAGACAACTGGAATGATACGAGAGCGCAAGGGGCGAGCACTTTAAGCGGGATTTGTAGTTAGTGCGCATGAACGAGAACGAACGAACTATTATTTATTGAACGAACGAATGGCGAATGAGCGGCGAATGAAGTTATTATATTGATGACTGGCAACAGGAAAGCCGAACGCCCAACTCGATAACTAAGATGTGTATCTAACAATGCGCTAATGACTAAACATTTCACGATCAATACTGAAATATACACGTTTAATTGATTTATAATACTTTTGACTACTTTTATGTAGAACAAAATTGTTTTGATTACATCTGAATTTATGAAATCTCTAAAGGATTAATCAGAATTGTTTTAATATATACTTTTTTATATCATTAAGTAGATAAAGAAAGAATACACCTTCGATTTTTATTAAATATACCTACCTACAAAGAATGAAAATACTAAATAGTATTTAATATTTATCTGTCATAATAAATATATGGGATTTATTACATGGCGAATAAGAATTTTACATTAATCAAATTCAATGTAGAAGGGCCCATACTCCATAGTTGTTGCGTTCAGTAACTTGTTGCTTTTATAATTTATTCATATGTATTCAGAAATACTGGTTAAATTTCTTATAATGTAACGTTACTATAGTAAGAATTTTATGCTTTTTCTTTTGCATAGAAATAAATAAATTTAACTTGTATACCTATATAATAAGTAAAAAAATACATTTAAAATTATAAGAAACGTAAAAAGAATCTAAAATTAATGAGGAGTCATTAAAGTACATATTTTTAATAGACGACGGATAAAAAAAATTCTAGTTCTTCTTTATTTATCTTCTACGAATCGTTATATCATAAATACATATTTTTCTAATGTAAAATAAACTTATATTTTAATTTAAGCAACAGATGATATTTTATCAGTTACTTTTAAAATTAAATCTTTATTTATTGGTTAACTAAACTAACAGGCCACAACTAGTATGGAATGAGCTAATTTATAGAAAAATCATTATATAGGATAGATATTGGAATTGTTTTCTGAGCGAGTAATTCCTTTGTTACATTCAAGAAACATATTTTTCTTAAGCTGGTGTAAAATTGTTAACAAACTTTTCCATCCCTGCGACAGTTTAGCGTAAAGTACTTATTATTTTAAAGGACTTTACTTACTTTGTTTTTAAATTTGCAATGTGCAAAATATAAGATGGATAATCATGATATATAGATAAAAATATTGTTCCACATTGCAAGTAAGCGTAATATAATTCTACCCACATTTAGCCGTGGATTCAGATATGCATGTTGTAAATTGTAATGATTCCTTACAGAATTTTTGTCGAACAAAAACATGTTGAATTGCTGTTGTTTTCTTCATAATAAATCACATTCTAATAATAAAATATACCTATAACTTAACATAAAAACACTCAATAATCTTGTTATACATTTAAAATGATTCATATTTAAAGCCGATACCGTAATCATTTCATCATCATCTGAAGTTTAATATGAATGAGTAATAATTCAGTCTTTTCCTGTCTGAATGAAATGAATTTTTACGGAAAATATTCTTTTATTATTGAGAAAAACTGTCGTAGTGTATTATTTTTTTGTCGCAAAGTGTATGCTTCCACCGAATCGCTCCTTAAGACGTGCAAGGAGGGCGCATGCGTGGAAATTTGACACAATATTCTGGACCCAGCCTCTTTCAGTCCGTACCTGGCTTCATTGTTAATAAGTACTCATATCCAGACATCCCCGAAGCGATCAATCAACAAAGTGTCCTAAGTTAAGAACAATAAGGTAAATATTTGCGGGGCTCCATTAATTTAAGTTGTTAGCATGTCAGTGTCGTATAAGACATCTATTAGAAGAGATTAATGGGGAAATGTTTGATTTAGATTATTGGACTTATTTAATGGGCAGGGGCGTGTTTTATATAAAAAAAGGTTGTAATAGCATTATTATGACAGATTAAAAATATTTTTAAAAATTATTAATTGTAAAAACTATATAATCTATATCCTTTATTAGTTTCTCGAGCTGATGCGAATGTTTAACTTGAATAAATACCGGTCTTTGAATGTGTTAACGTATTTTTCTACTATATAATCTACGTATTATTTTCCATGAATATGCGTTTGTTATTTTTTCCGAAACAGATTTACTAACATGTACATAAACCAAACAATAAACTAATAAACTTGATATTACACGATATACATTAAAATTAAATTGAATATTATTTTGTCAAATTAAATTGAATATGAATAATAAAAACTTTTTGCTACACGCATTACTCTTGAAACTTATGCTTAACGACAGCGCCTTATTCAATTAAAAAAAAACATATGTATGTACGTATAAAATGTCTTTATCAAATCAGTGCAGTGTAACTACATCATACCCTCATCCTCTCAATTATAGTATAATGCAGCTCACAATCATTATATTGTAGTTATAATGGTATTGTTAACACGAACATGCTTCAATAGACGTGGGACTAAGATTTATATCTACCCACAAATACAGACGCGGGCGACAGAATAGGGTGCAACTGTTCCCTTCGATGTCAAATAAAAATTATTTATTAATGTGTCACTCATATTATACATATAATTTACTTTTCACACGAACTATGCCTATTTGATAATGTTCTTTTATATCTATCTCAAATATGTACATAATTTTCTATGTAAATAATATTTATGGATGTGTTACTTGCTAAATATTACATTTACAGTTGATGTCTTTACACTTTTTTTATGAAAACAAATTGTGTATTTTATTTTCTTGAACGGAACAAAACATTATACCTTAGCGAAATTTATAATGCTTGCGTAATGCTTTTTTAGTTTTATCTTAAGGAAACTATTAAGTCATATACATGATAAAAAAGTGTTTATTATGTATTATATGTATATTTATGTTATTTCTATGTGTTGTAGTTACATATCGCAGGCGGCGAACGCCTGCTGCATCACGTCGTCTCAACACAGAAACATATTCTCCGCGGTGAACAACTTCTTCGCTGATTCACCGCTGGTGAATCAGCTGAAAGGCATCATGGTAAATGTGCTTCCCTTGTTCTAATAGTAAACTGTGTATGAAACGTTCCTATTGATTATATATATTCGTTTCAGACTCGACAAACGAGTAATATCGAACCGGGACCGCCGGATGAAACTCGCAGAGAGAGAGGTGCGACAACTACTTTCTCGATAAGCCACTCGGAAAGGTAAGAAAATAAAACATCTAAATATTTACATACATAAAAAACTCTTCATAATATCTTACAATATTTATATAACTTGTATGTATTGAAGCCAGACATTCTTAATTAGCCCCAATATTACCTTCATTCGTTATAACAAGGGACGGCCGTAGCTGAGTAAGATTTCCTCAACTACCCACACCGGAACATTACTCGCCTCTTGCATATTAATATTCTCTAGAGGGTATTAGCAACTAAGGCACAATGCGTTAGAACTACTTAATTAAAGTTTCTGCTATTGTTGTTACCTCAATTAATTCTTATTGTTACTTAGACCCCATTTTCTTTTATTTTATTATATTACTAGTTAAATAACAGTAAATTTTGTTATTGTGAAGTAAATTTTCCATTTTCACAACAAAAGGTTTTCGTTTTTATGTTCGTTCTTTGAAAGTAATTAGATCAGGGTATTGGATAACCGCTAGTAACGGCGTTGAATAATAATAACTTGAAAGGTTTATTCTGTAGTGATTAAATAATAAAATCTTTTAAATAAAAACTGTATGAGTATCGTATAAAATCATAACTATACTTGTTGCTAGTTGAAGTTTATCTAATATCATTATATTTAATGGGTATTAAAGAGTCTTATTTGTTAAATTAGAGACGCCCAAGTCTAAATCCTGACTCGTCTTGTATTTTTATTACCAAATGCCGTGTAATAGTGTTGCGCGGTAATGGACGATGATTTAAAATACATTTTAAATTCGTAGAATTGTATAAAATATAACAATAAAAACATATTTTGTCATCTTTTATACGTTTTTTCATTTTAAAAATGAATCGATAAGTTATCAAACGATTATTATAAACTTATAAATGATGGTAATAAATTATAAACGAAACCGCGAATGTAGATAAAGTAACAAAAATTATATTGCGATACAAATAATGCGATTTTTAACTATTATAATTTTATTCTAAGCTGAACTTTCATGTCTTTGCTAATGCTGTTATAATATCCATAAGATAATTTAAATTTAGGATTATTTAAATAGGAATGCACTCTTATGAGATCTAAGATTTTCGCGAGTACTCAATTAAATGAAACTAATAAAATAAAAACGCGAAGTAAAATCCGAAAATATTAGTTTCATTTAAAGGAATGCACTCGTTTTAAAATATAAAAGATTTGATAATTTCAAAACGCAATTTTTATATCGCGGACTAACTACGAATTTTCAGTTTAATCGTTTAACATTTATTATTGCATCTAAACCCTCAGTCAGTTGTCACAGCGGTCTGTGTCATCGGCTCAGACACAAAAACAGGTTAACTTCCTGAAGCCTAACAATACTATGGACCGGAAAGCGTCAATTGTTGATGAGACGACAGGCATCACACGCACACAGATGAAAGGTTTGTGATTTAGATGCAACGAGATGCTGTTAAAATAACTTATACGTATAATGTATTGTTATTGAAGTTCGAAATGTTTTTTTACTCATAATTTATCATCAAAGGTTTAATTTAAAATCAAATAACCGTCTTCTGATTTAGTTTCCATATAATTAATTTTGTTTTCTGGGTATCATTACAAAAAAATAATTTCGAATACCGTCGTTCTATGCAGTGATAAATATTAGGTATAATTGTTGTTTAACTTTTGTTTGATTGTAATATATCTTTAATAGAATTCCGTGAAGCTTTTCGTTTATTCGACAAGGACGGCGATGGTACAATCACGAAGGAAGAGCTCGGACGTGTTATGAGAAGCCTCGGCCAGTTCGCCAGGGTTGAGGAGTTGCAGGATATGTTGCAGGAGGTCGATAGTGACGGTAAACTTTATACAACATCATTATTATAACACCCAATAATAATATGAAAAGCATAAGCACTTTTGGACACTTTATGTATGTGGGTAGTTGAGAATTTTGTCGAATTTTAGGTGATGGCAATGTGAGTTTTGAAGAATTTGTTAATATTCTGTCGAAATCAATGTCTGGAGCTGGTGGAGGGACGAGTTCCGCTGAACAGGAGGAGAGGGAACTCAGAGATGCATTCAGAGTATTTGATAAACATAATAGAGGATACATCTGCGCTTCTGATCTAAGAGCGGTGCTGCAGTGTCTCGGTGAAGATCTATCTGAGGAAGAAAGTGAGATATCGCAATTTTATTCCATTCAAAAAACCTTAATATCAATGTTTTAATAATACATTATATATTTCAGTTGAAGACATGATAAAAGAAGTCGATTCTGATGGTGATGGGCGTATTGATTTTCTGGGTAAGTAATTATTAGCTTCGAGACCTAATGCAAATTAAGCTATTTTTCGTCAGTGCTGTCGCTCATTCTAATTTGTATGAAAAACTTTATGGTTGTATTTGATGAAATTGGCTCATCAAAATTATCAGAATATATAAAATCTACAAATTAAAAGGTATAGATAAGTTAAAATTATATATTTTTTTCCAGAATTTGTTAGAGCCCTTGGAGAACCGGAAGACGCTTGTGATGACGAAGACGATGACGAGCTCAACGATGGAACAGAGATGCATTTAACTCAACAAGTTGCTGCAAACTGAATTTTAAATACTTAAAAAAAATTGCTCTTCGATAAATGCTTAAATTTTAACTATATTAATAGCGATAACAGTTGTGACTCGGTTGTGATAACAGCCCTATAATTCCTGGTAGAAAAAAAAGAAAATGGCGGAGTTTTTAAGAATTACTTGTCATGTCATGATTCTAAGGAATTTCGGCTGTTACGATAAATATTACATGGTTCTTAAATAATGAATTCTCATAGTATTGATCTCTTAGAATTTCAATCTTACTCAACTATTTAGGTGTTATTAATAAAACATTTTCGTCTGGACATATTAATTACTCTAGTGCTACCGAATTTTAATACATTTACTTAAAAATCATTTCAATGCATATTCGGAATTGAATCTTTCTTATTCAATATTAATAAATCGTTCTCTTTTTAAAATTTTAAACTGTATGCTTAAAAAAAATCTCTAAATTTTAATCACTCTCTTAGAAATACTAAATATCGTGTCATTATAAAGACATTAATAGAAATGTTTTGGAAAAATAATAACCATGTTTTCTATATTTAATAAAATTGCACATATATTTAACTAAATTCACGTTTGTGAGAACATATCTCGTATTTACGATAAACTTTCTGACTAATGTAATCATTAATTATAACTATTTTAAAAATCAAATAAAGCTTTATTATAATACATATAACATTTTTTATTTCGTAGTCATCAAGTTTAATGAAGTATATGTATGGAAATATCCATAATGATGAAGGGTAAAAAAACAATCAAAAATACCATCATATTTTTATTAACATATCAAATATTTACCAATACTTATATAATAATTGCATTACTTTTTATAAAACCAGTAACATTTAAGTACACTCTCGTTTTATTTCACTGTGGATACAAATACATGGATACAGTCCTATGAATATCTAATTTAACAAAATATTAAATTAAAGTTGGCATATAAAATTATAAGATCACATCATAAAACGATAAATATTCGACTTCCAAAACAATCCTAAACAATAAAAGATAATAATTTTATTAAATTTATAATGTATAATTTATAAACAAAACAATCAATTTAAGTGATTTAAATATTTTTTTACATTACAATAAATACGAATCATATTCACTTGGGTTAGACTTCATTATTAATTACATTATACCAATCAATGTTGTTCAAAATATATTGTATTTTAAATCAAACATTTCTAAACAGTTATTTATCACAATTTTATAATTGATGTTTTATTATGTCAGTCTTAAACACTTTGATCGATCTTCAACAGCTCTGACTAACATTTAAATCCGTTATTGGATCTGAGTTCCTGTGATGTAAATATAGCAATATTACTTATATACATAATATATATTATTTTTATTTTATTATGACATATATAACAAGCCTTAATATGAAGTTTGATTGCACTGAAAGTAATATTTTAGACAAATAATAATTGCATATATTGAAAGGAAAGTATAAATGAAGAAATAGCATGTAATTTTTAAGCTTAATAATAAAAATAATTCAAATATATTTTAATTAAATATTTTTAAATATATAACTGTTTTATAGCAAGTAACATAATTCCTTTCCACAGTTGTAAACACTTTCCTCAGCATTGCATTGTTAATGAGGTAGCTTGCTTGGTAAAAATCATTTCATACTTTCAAATATATAAAATTCATATCCATCATATAGACAATTTAAATGATTATATAAAATAATAATATAAATTCTATTCTTAATTTAATCATATATGTGATACAACACTAGAAAAAACCAGTTTCGGATGATATTTATATAAATGATTACACATTAATCTAATATATCTACGAGCTACATACAAAATACATATATATTGTAGCATAAATGGCCATAATAATTGTATTTATACACAATAATATATAAAGCAACAATTAACACACACTAGATCTTTACCGGCTGGTGATATACTTAGGTTCCATATGTCCCGTTTCACTGAGACAGCGTAAAACAACATTCCCAGATGGTAGAATTGATATCCAGGTTATTGAACCGTGATTAAGAGAAATCCGAAGCCAGCCTTCCGGAGGGAACTGAAGAGCTCTGGAATAATACAGATTTCATGTTATTAAATATCAAGTTTGAGCTCATTCATTTGTATATTTGATATATTAAACTTTATGAGCGATTGAGAATATCAAAACAAAGTTAGTAAACATATTTTCCCCAATTAAAATAATTAAATATAATTTAGAAATATAAATAATGATAAATAGGTGAAATTTAATAGAATTGGATTTCTTCTTTGTATTTTTTAAGTAATTTCTAATATTTCTTTGGTTCCTTACTTTATTAACAGATCCTCTGCAGCTTTAAGTTATTTTAATAAATTACTACCCTTTCTTTTAAAGCTACCTTCTGTTTTAGTTACCCAGTATAAATAGTTCTTTTTGTATTCAATCAGTCTTTACAAATGAACATAATTTATTTCTTATTAATGAATTTTACATGATAGAAATGTATGAAAACTTACTTGCAAACAAAGAACCGTATAACATTTGCATGGCAGACCAGTAGGGTATAAGAATCTTTTGTTTGTTCGGGAGGTGCTCTGTAGAAGTATCGTCTAAAGGCTGCCTCTATTCTAGCACCGTCCTGGAAGAACTGCTACACGTACCACACCATACTGGGTTAATATACTGACCAGTGTTGCCATTATAGTAAAATAATATATTTAATTAATTTCTTTTTTATTGTTTATTATAGTATTATATTGATTTAGCATTGCTGGGTGTTTACTATATCTTTTTAAGAATTTCATATTTTTTTAGAGTAAAAAGACTATAGTGACTAATAAGGAAATGAAAAGCCAAAATCATCATGCTGAATGAAATAAAAAAAAGATGAAAATGATAGAATGCAATTAATGATACAAATTTCTGATGGAATAAAGGAAAACAACAAAACTGGTCAGTAGAATGTTAAGGAGCCAATGATAACAATAATGTACATATAGTTTTAGTATTAATCAAAATTTCAAAACATATCATAACATCTTAAAAATAAAAGTAATTAAAGTGCTGCGGCTACCATTAAGAAGTGCATTACCATTACATTACCTGATACATCTAATCCATGCATTTTGCAACAGAATAAGATATGTTTGGTTATAAACATATGTCAAAGTAAATTCAATCTTAATTGGTATAGCTTATGACTTACTTTAGGTTCAGGTCTCCAATGTCCGACCGGTGGTTCGGGTGGTATCGGTGCCCCTTCTTCTATCAACTGACAATCGGTCACTTCTATATCCTTTGGTAGATGCTTCGCTATAATACTAGCTGTTTCTTGAGCCCTTGTCATTGTTGATCTAACAAGCAAATCCCATTGTATGTCCAGACATGATAATCTTTTACCCGTCAGATCTGCCTGTTGCCTTCCTGAAATTATGTATAAATTTTTACTTATAGCTATGAATGGGTTGAACTTTGGTGATATTAGACTATAATTGATTAAAATTGGAAATGCTGTAACAAATTTTATTTCCTTATTATGTGCTAATTCAGATTACTGCTGAACAGTTAATATAGTTTTGGTGAGAACTAACCAGTATTTAAGATATGCTATGACATAGATTATGTTTCTAACTGATATGTCATAATTAACTGGATGCAGAAACTATTATTACTGAACTCACTGTTACAACACCGATAAGGTACTTATCAAATCTTTTTTCATATCACATAGTTGTTGATTATGAATTAATCATCCATATTGCAACTAAAGGCTAATATTTCCGTAAATTTGTATCAAGTGACTCTGGGAAGCAATCCGATTCATATAAAAAATAAATTTCAATAAGAATATAATCACCTAATTCTGTTAATATTCTCTCCCTATCAGTTAAACCTTCAGTATTATATTGTCCGTGTCGTATTAAGAACAAGTGCCGAACAGCTTTGCTCTTTGCCTTTTCAATTTGTTCATTGTATTTATTCTCATCTTCAGGTTTATCTGATCTCTTCGGTCGAACTATTGACTCTGGTTCCCGGCTGAAATAATAAATTTATGATAATTACATACATATTGAGTTAGTGCTGCCTTATGGATTACATATTAATGGTTGAAGACTGTCTTATTATAAATAAAATTAAATAAGGATAGCAAAGCAACTTATTAAATATAATGTTTTAATAAATTTGTCAGCTTAGATAATTTGCTAACCTTTTAATAGAATACAGAAATACAAAAATTAAGAATATGCAATTTCCTATATACTGAACAATTTAAATTAAGAACACAAGTGTCCCATGAACTGAAAAATTTAAATTAAGAACACTAATTTCTTATGAACTAAAAAATTTCAATTAAGAATTTACCAATTTCCTATGTAGTAACAATTTAAAGTAACATTTAACAAAACTCTTCTGTACAAACTTGATAGGCTTCTTTGTATGTAATAATAAAGAAACATACTAATCTTTTTGGCTGCAGGGAGAAATATATACACATTATTTTAGCAGCAATACATGTGAATAGTTTTGCCATGAATTTAATAATAGACTATTGATTTTGCACCCAGTTTTTAATATATTTATGTAATGAGCACAATTATATGAAGTTTTGGTATAAAAGGATTGTTATAAATATTATAAACAACATAATTTTCAGTATTATGAGTTGAATAATGTGATATGAAACAGAACAGTAGGAGTCTGATTATAAATAGATGTTATCTTTTATATTTACACCACAAATAAGATTTGGCACGGTCAATGGCCTAGATTCTAATATATAGAAAACATTAAACCAGGAAAAACAACTTATGATTTTCCATTTTGGTAACTACAATAAATGAAATTTTTTGTTCACTTCCAAACGGAAAACTGGGATAAAGCTTGGATTCTGAAATGATTTTAATTGTAAATAATAAGAATATATTATGGGACAATATTTAGGTATAATATAAAATCCAATTATGAGGAAAACAGATGGTTTAATCCCCTAGAGTGGTGATGGTTTATATATATAATTATATTATATGTATATTACATTGTGTCTAAGTAGCCTATTACATTGTCTCAGTATTAGTCTATAATTAAAATAAAGTGACTTTTTCCCCTTTTCCGTTTAAGATTGTTTTTGTCTTCTCTTAGTTTCAAATTTACATATGTTTTTTTAGTAGTTTCACATTTTCTTTCGTGAACAGAATTAGCGAATATACATATATTTTTGACAAATATAATGTAGTAGATTATAAATGAAATGTCACATACTGAAGAATGGACAATTGAAGAACATTTGATGAAAGCAGACTATAAATTGTAGCAAATTTATTGATGCCATGTGTGGCATCATTTAGCTTGCATATAAACATCATATATGTGGTCAATTCCAGTGACAGGATTCTATAATGATGTCACTTTGAGCAAATATGCATAATTGTATAACAATGATTCATTTTATATTTTCCCTACTAAACAATATAAATAATTTTGTTTGAATATGGCTGAATGGCTCCAGAGAAAAAATACTTGTCAGTACTTAATTGATATTTAGTATTTAAAATAAATCATAATATAATGTGTGACATTGTCCCTTTGAGCTACTAATACCTTGTCAGAAAACTGTAGGACCAGTAATACCTCATAAGATGTATTATGTAATTGCTATTGTAAAATTATGGCAATTAATCAGGATTAGGTATTTGTTACAATATTTTTAGAATAACATAAGTTTTATAGTCAGTGGTGGCCTATTGTTTAAAGGGCCCGCCTCTCATGCACGAGGGCGCGGGTTCGAGCCTGGCCCGGGCAAGTAGCAATGTGATTTTTAAACATCACTGATTAATGTCGATTCCCAAAGAGGGTTGATGTCAGGCAGGCGGCCGGTCGTAAAAACAAATAGCCAAAACTATTCATAACATGTAAGACAGACTCTGGCCATAGCTGGGAAATTGAGAGGTAGAAAAAGAACATAAGTTTTAAAGATTTCCTATTATTTTTAGAGCTTATGGCCATGGAATACTAATATGTAACTGGAATATATGGCAAGATTGTAGTTATATTTAGAATTTTATAACATTGAAAATCTAATGTCTAAATAACAAAGTGATTCAGAAAGTCTAGAACATAATGGATTTAGAATACCCACTAGCATTCATCATACATTAAAAAACACCACAATCAAATTATGTTAGTAACCCAGAATCACTCTTGTATCAGTTGATTGCTTTATCTTTACATATTCTATTACTTCTATTATTTGCATCAACTAAATTTGAGATATGTGATACATCAATAATTAAATTTTAAGCTAAGGAAAATCTTAAAATATTTTTAAACTCTTTTCCCTTTACAAACAGGATATTAATGTAATAATTTTTAAGGTTCTTTGTATCTAGAATGTTAGACATACTTATTTAAGTGGAACATATAATCTTTGCCTGGGCCTTTTTAATCCTTACTATAAATGAATTTAAGTAAGATATTGTAATAAAAGTTATCCTAGAGTATTGAAAGAGAAATTGTCATGAAAAGTTACTACTGACCAAGACTATTCAACCATTTTAAATGAAAAATCCTTCATCAACATGTGGGATATTATAGCAATATTAACTTTTTGGTTGCCAAATGTGGGTAGGCGTGTTTAATGTAAGAAAACAAAAAGTTTATTACTACTTAAGTGAACATATCCAGGCAAATGGTTGTATGGCTAAAATTTGATATACAATCTGACTTTGCCGGCTTTGTACTGCCTACAGAACTAGAAGATTTCTGATACCAAAAATCTTATATTATCATATATTTTTACTTTTGAGTAACTTAGTAGGTTTAGAAAGAGATTGTAAGTAATACTCAGGTGCTTATTATATGTTTAAGAAGTCTTCATACTTTTCCAAACCCGCTGGCTAATGAAAATTATTTAGCAGTACATTTTTAATGAACAAAAAGTGTATCAAATTAACATACAATGAAAAAATAATACTCTTTTAAAAGTAGTTTGTTTATTTCATAACTAAATAGTAAATAAAAAAATATATAAAATATTATTTTCTTAATTCAGACAAAAAGATGTTATATAATGAAATATTCTCATGAAATTTTAAATGGATACACTATATACTTCTGTAAAAGAATTGGAAATGAAATATTTAACTAAATCTTCAATACATTTGTTTTGTACTTTTCAGGTTTTATAATAAATTTCAAAGTCAGTGGCTATATAATTGTGATATTTACAGTGTCGTAAATAATATTTAATTAAATTAACAAAGCGTTATGAAACTATAAATAAAAGTTTACGTGTTGATTTTAAACATTTGTCAAGTACATTAATTCTATCTTTATTTTAAATTACGTCTTGATGCTATAAAATGGAATGAAAAAAAACGTGGACTAAAAATATATATATAAAAACTCACTGATCCCAATTCTTGTCCCACTTAACACTGGGTGTGTAATTCGTTGTCCAGGAATTGTGTACATCGTACTGCTTTTCAGATCTTCCCATCTGATAATACGCTAGGCCTCCACCAACCGCACCTAATCCCAAAAGGGCTATTTTATTTAATCTTGACAATGTAGCCATAGTTAGGTTGACCTATTTTCACTCAAAACGCATGTATTTTATTATATCTTTAGGCTATGAACAATAATATCTAAAGTTAAATGGACTTTCTTTATATTTATGATATGTATTGTTATAATTTATATTAGGAAGTATCTTATTATTTCAAAACTGCTATTCAGCAATGTATGCGTTTAAATTATAACTGATAACCTTTAAAACTATATCAGTCTAACTGATGCCTACTAAGTGACAATTCGTTGGTAAATTCTGACTACTGTATTGTGACATGACATTAATAGATGGGTTCGGAAATTCAAAACATAATTGCACAATTAGGTTTTGGATCCAAAATTTGTAATTGTGTACAATTCGTTTCTAAAAGTTAAAGGAACAAATAAAATTTAGGCATACATAATGTTTTCTACTTTACATGTGTGGGTCTACCATATTAAAAGAAATAGTGTTTTCTTTACACAACTTAAGGGAAATGGAAAGGATGGCTATGAAAAAATAAGGATGATAGTAAAAAGATTAACAATAACAGTGATAGCCATAAAAATTTAATAAATATATATATTTTTAATCTTGTTCAAATAACTATTACCATACGTAATGGCAGGACGTAGCAAAATTATTTTCTTTTTTAAAATATGATTTTATACAAAATTAATAGAGTTGGGTTAGTAATATACTATTACATTGTATATTTATATAAATTATACATCTATACTCTTGAAATATATATAAACGGACACATAATTATACATTTAAAAATAATATACGGTTAATATTATAAGATGGCCTTAAAATATAAGTATTCGATATAATAGCGGAAGCTGAAAATTGTCACTACATTGTAACAACTAGGTATGTATAATATAATATTAGATTGTAGAGTATAGTAATGTACTCATTGCTCATAAAACTGAATTTTTATCAGTACAGCTAAATTTTTTTACAATAAGAATTACCTATGATTTTTTTTATACCATCTATTGAGCCACTTTACTGTTATTTTGGAGTTTTATAAAATCCTAAATTCACGCTGTACTTCAACATTGCTCTTGCGAAAAATAGACTATTAAGTTGACCAACATTATTCGCAATTTAATACTTTAAAAATTACTTTGATTAGGAATATACAGAATTTTTATTTTAATGAGATAAAATTAGTCCAAAATAAAGAAAATATCTATAAGATCTAATGGTGCTAAGAAATTAAACATCTATTTGCTAATTAGTACAACTTTGTAACTTTATAGTTTGAAATCACATCAAATCTTGTATAATCTTATCCTTCTCTGTTTATTTAATACAACCTTGTTTAACCAAACGTAAAGTTAGACGTTAAACTAGTAAGTAATTTACACTACTTAAAAACAGAATACGAGAATGAAACATGAAAAGGTAACATATGAGGGTTGAATGTTTGACTACTGAATTATCTGAAATATAGATTTTTCATTGTATCGCAATACTTAAGATAACTTAGAAATCTGACAAACAATGAGTGTATCAACACAAGTTTTCAATTACATCGTTTTTAAATTAAATTATTGTCAGCTCTATCGGTGTATTCTATGAAAATGATTGATGTTTATTTAAATCAGAAACGATGATTATTATTCTTAAGTAAGAAGTAACAATTATAAGCAGATAGATCTCTCTCCTCTTTATTTAATGGCATAAGAATTTGTAATCAAAGAGACACGGTATTTTGTGCTTAAAAATATATTCAATATTAATATATGTTATTGAAACAATATGTCACTTGACTTTATTTAAAATAAAGAGTTATATACAGTTGCCACGAAAATTACAAGAAATTTAAGGATATAGCACCTGTACTCCATAGCTATTTATGTCCTGTTAAAGTTTTGATAGCAAAAAATACCAGAAAAATTTAGTAACAAACTCAAGAAAAAAAAAATTGATAACATCATGCCACAAAAGAGTAAATTTAGGGGGTTTTAATGTATGTACCTATTCAATATAATGGGAACTATTTAAAATAGGTGTCATTCTTGAGTAGCTTTACTAGGATTTGAATATTTTTCAAAGAAAGGAGGATCTTATTTACAGAAAGATGAATAGTGAAAGCTTCATGTCATATAAATGAAAAAAAAATCAACAGTTTCCATTCAATTGCATTGTTGTCGAGGTGTTAAAACAACGGGGTAACCATTTGCAGATTTAGCTGATATGGCCATAATCACGTTGAGATCTTTATATTCGTTTATTGATGATAGTCGGAATTCTCGCAACACCGTTATTGCTATGGTCTTAATGAATTTTCCTGCAAGGAATCTCCCTGAAAATAACATATCGAAAACTTATCGAAAGCAAGACAAACGTACATACTATATAGAAATGATTTGTTTAGGTTTTCAGATCGTTAATGTTTTTTGATTTCACTATAATAACAAATACTTTTATTACAAGTCAGGGAAAATATGGCAATGAGGATATATTTATTTACCTCTATTATTTTTATGGCTCTAAATAAATCTTATGCTGAGTTAATTCACTACCTTGAGGTAAACTATAAAATGTTATAATGGTTATAATCTATAACTTTATAGCATTAAGTTATAGATCAGCGGTAAATAAAATTTATTTTAATTATTATTACCTAGACAATCCATTGGTCCTAAACTGAATGGAATATAACAGAAAGGGTTCCGTTTCTTCGTATTCTCTGTTGAAAATCTTTCTGGATCAAAAGCTTCAGGGTCTTCCCAAAATCTTGGGTCACGATGTAAATTGAAAATGGGAATAACAAGAGATGAACCTGCTGGCAGTGTGCATGTACCTGAAATTCAAACGAACTAGCTTTTGAAGTCAGGTCCTTAAATATTAGAATTTGAGTGTCTGAATTTTTCTACTACTTTTGTCACTTTGTCAGCGATTTATAGGACCAAAAAAGTATTCTGGTATTCGAGCAACTTGCATATAATAGAAAATATGTGCAATTAAACCCGAGCAATTGTTGCATTAAAAAGATTGCATCATTGGTTAGTTCGGTCGAACAAATAGAACCTTCTTTCAATTATTTTTAACATATAGGGGTAGTAAAACAATTATATAAATTATATAGAATATTTGGCCTTACTTATTTCAACGTCATCTGTGACAGTCCTTTGTAACATGACACCAATAGGGTATAGCCTTAACACTTCCTTGTAACACTTTTCCAAGTATGGCATACGCTTTAGATCGTCTTCAATTATTGGACCGTGATTATTGCCTATGACATTTAATATTTCCGAATACAATTCGTCCTGTAAAGTGTTAACATGAAGTATTCTAGATTTTTTTAATACGTATTCTAAATTTAATTTTATATACCTGACATTTAGGATGATATGCCATCATGAGCAGCAAAAAAGACGTTATCTTTGCGGTTGCCTCTTGACTCTGAAAGATTTGAACTGCATATAGATACATGTAGTAGTATGTCACCATTTTTTATATTCATAAAGCGGTATTTAATCTTACAGATGTAAATAGTGTGAACGTTTCTTCTATCAGCTCTTTGTCGTTTAATTCTTGGGACAGTATCAATCTATCGATGACCGATAACTTTGTATTTCTCATTGAATCCTGTTCTGAATTTAATAATTCTAAATCATCTTCATTTATGTTCTTTAATGCTTCTTTTCTGTTGTTTATTATAAACATGTTCATCTCACTTATGTCTCTCATGATTTTTTTTTGTTTTCTATATGATTCCGTTAGCCAAAAAACGGGATCTATTTGTAGATACCATTTCGTCATTCTATCAAATATGAAGTCATATAACCTAAAAATATTAGAGCTATTTATAAATATTCTGGAGTTTGTAAAAATAATAATTTATTACTATCCTCTTTACACCATGTATATAAAAAAAATCGCAGACCCATATATTAGATCGCAAACCCATGCAAAGTTTTACGATAATAAGACTAAACAAGGCTAAGTGCTTTGGTTTATTATAATTAATTTCGTTTTACTCTTACCTTGGACTTTCATCTATAACATTTTGCAAACAAGGAATCCTTGAGGTTTCATCTCTGGTGAAACCCATTAACGATTCTGAAAAAATTTATTACAAAACAATCGCTCAAAGTTTTGAACTTTTCAAGTCAAATATATATTGTACTGGGTGCTTCTCGTCTGTTTGCCTACTCACTAAGATGTTTTAACCAAATTTAGTTTTGCTAAATTAATAAAGGAAATTTAGAAATTTACGTATATAAATAGTTTGAATACATCTTTAGAAAAAGATAATATATTTTCGTATATCCAAAAATCCCTACATTCATAAATATACCCATAGATGTTTTTGCATTTAAGTACTTAATAAAATAACAGCAGACTACTCACGACATACAATGTAGCTGGTGGTTTTAACTATATGTTTGTATATATCTTGTACACCATCCTGGTGTACTTTATATAAATTATCAACAAGTATTTCAGCCTCTCTGTAGCAAACGTCATTATAGCTTTCAACCGCTCGTTTTCCATAATTTGGTATAACGACTTTTCTATGCTTTCGCCATTTTGACCCTGTATTTATAAAGACTTATATAGGGAATTATTGTTTATTAAGATTTCTTAGCTACTAAATTCTGGATTATAAACAAATAATTTAAATTGTATTTATGACTTTATGATAAATATTTAATTGGATGTTTTTTTAAATTATAATTACGTAAAAGTAAGAAAATTTTTGTCACCTGATCCACTTAAAATACCAACTCCGATTAAATCTGACATGTATTTATACTGAGGACCTTTTACGCTGACCTTGTTGTTAGTTAGTAAAATCTGAAGAAAATTTCAACGTGATTTATCATTACATATAATACATAATAATACCTATGTTTTAAGTTCAAAAGTAATTTTCTTTAAAATAAAATAAAAAGATTTGTAAGAGTTTGTTTATTGTCTATAAATTAAGGCACAGATTTTAAAGTTGGAAATAAAACTTTTAAAGTTTTGATGCAAAAGATTTAAATATACTAAAAACTAATTGTTTCTAGCAGCTCCTTCTGCGTAAAAAGAAAACAAAATGCAATGAAAATACTTTTATTAGTCGCATGCGTATATCCCACTCGAGTGATAAAACTTAATTTCGAAATCGTGATAAAAAGTAGCCTAAGTTATTCCTTATTACACTAGCTACCTGCTAATCAAAGACCCGTCAAAATCAGTCAAGCCATTTCAGAGAGACGGACAGATAAGAATGTTATTTTGGTGTATATACCATATATACTCGTACTTATTCATATGTATGTAGTAAAAACGGTTGTTTCAATATAACAAACAGACACTCCCATTTTATTTATATGTATATATAAAATAAAGAATAATTTTGAAATTAAAGTATTCATATTGATTTCTAATTATTAAATTTAATAATGAACAAATGTCAAGAGAAAAAAAGATTGAAATATTATATTTCATATTACCTTTATGTCATCTGGATTGCTAACAACAATATTTAAATCAGGTCCAAGCCAGAACCTTAGAATGGAGCCATACTCCTTGATTAACTCTTTAGTAATCTTTATCATTTCTGTAAAAAAATTATTAATTAATTGTTTTGCTTAAATAATTACGTTCAAATATTATTGGGAATAATTAAAGTTTTTATCAGAGTTGTCGATTAGTATCCTTGTTTCATATTTCACATATAGTTGATAATTGGATTTTTTCCTTGGATTAGATTATTTATTTCTTTGATAAACTCGTGGTTGGTTTTTACATTACATTATACTTATTATTAAAACACGTACTCTTCCAAAATCAGTGGGTAAAGTAACATAATAAAGCTAGGTTACCGATAGCCCTATATAAATTTATATCTTTTTTCAAATACAAGACTAGACTTAAGTGAGCTTTGTTACTCTAATATTTCTTTACGGCCCCAAATAATGATAAATACGTGAAACTCTTTTAAGCCATTATGGAAAAGGTATGCTGTCCAGAGGGACAACACGATTCTTCGGAATGGGATTTTCCGGAAAATGGGAAAACGCTAAAGGAAGTGGCTGTCATTTGCAGATGGTTGTACGCTGAACTGAAATACCTGATGTCACGAAGCTCAACCATGTTGGATGCTCTGGGGTCACATGGGAGTTAAAAGGATTTTGTTGAAGATACGAGAGCGATTTAACTGGATTAATTTCCGAGATGTTGAGGTTTGGTATCGCAAGTGTAACACTTGTATTGATGTAAAGGAACGGCATAGAAGGAGGCGATATGCTTTTAAATTGTACAATGGAACGCGTAGCATTGGACGTTGTGAGACAGTTCCCGAAAGTGACAGTAGTAACAAGTACTTCAATGTTGTCATGAATTACTTCACGAAGTGGCCAGAAATCTTCGCAATTCGTTGTCGAAAAACTCGTGTACAAAGATTTCTGTCGGTTTGAAGTGTCACTTGAAATTCACAGCGATCAATAAAGGAATTCTGAGATAGAAATATATCAAGAGACTTTGCAAAGTAATGAGTGGTCATAAGACTAGAGATACATCTTATTTATGTATGTATGTATTAAAGCATTTCTTAGGAGGAGACAATGTCGTGCCGGCTTAAAGATCGGCTTCGCGAATATTGTAGAATGTTCTCGATATCGATAGCTATATGTTTGCTAGAACTTTCCTATTAATAATATTTTTACCAAGAAGAATACAAACAATAATATTTTGGAATGTTCTAGTATTCGGATTGTTGTATAAAAAGAGGCTGGTAGGTCTGTTTTCAGTCAGTTTGCTGAATACCGTGTTTATATTCAGCCCTGTATCAAACCCTAGGTCATTCAAATCATTAAAATATCCTTTCAAAGCAATTATGATTTTCAACTCAACGACCTGTGAGTGTAACAGAACAATTATTCTATTATCTGTATAATTTAACATCGTACTTATTAAAACGTGTAAGACATTAGACATAATATTTTTAAAATTAATGAGAATTATATGTACTTTGATTTTTTTTAATTTCAGTTTATTATATGTTTTTATGATCTTTATATATAAAAGAAAGTCGTGTTAGTTACGCTTTTATTCAACAGTTATTATTCAAGAAAGGCTTTACGGATTATGCTGAAAATTGGTGGAGAGATAGCTTAGAATCAGGAGATGGACATAGAATATTTAATTCTGTTCGATCGAAACTGAAAAATAATAATAAAGAAACTCCAATATATGGTTATTTACGGCCTTTAGGGCGGAATAGACTTCCCCAGTCAGCTATACATGTATTATTCATTCCGATATTAACGCGGACAAAGTTGTAGGGAAAAACTAGTTATAACTAAACAATATTTCACTGAAATAAAACTGATGTTTTTCGGATGCGTATTTTATTATTGTTAAAACTACATACTCCCTACGTTTCGGTTACTTTTCAGCATTCTAGTGCGGAAAATATTCGTTTTATTTAAATTAAGTCTCATAATATTTCTTTCGACTAAGGCGAAGCAAAGATTCCTAATCTTTGACGTATTTTTTTAAATACTAATCCACTTTATGGTCAAAATGTGAAGAAAAAATTGCACTTATTTTTATGTCATTTACTTAGTCCTGGGTTATTCAATTAAGTTAAATATATAAGTTTATTTTATAAAACCCTATTGAAGATACATTTAAATATATATATATATATACATATACGATCATAATGATGTATGTCCATATGTTTATATAAAGGCAATCGTGTTTCGTTGTACACTTTATCAATGTCTTTTATAAAGTACCTATAAACTTCGCTTCAAGCAGGAAAGATTTTTTTTTATTTAAAGGACTTGATTTGAATAGATGTGATCCATCGATTATAAGTCTTAAAAAAATAAATTATTTATATGAGACCATTTCTAAAAATTACAAGTGCATATTCCAAAAAAAGTAACTTAATGCATGATCTTATATTACCTTCAGGGCGGCACATGAAATAAAGAGCGTTGCCTAGTATCGGAATAGTTGGTGGTCCTGGTATTTTCTTAGAGATTTCCAACAGCTTTCTGTTCTTGTACCGCCAATGAACCCAAGCACCCAGAACAACAAATACTAACAACACTACAGCCAACAGCATTCTGCAATGACAAGTTTAATATTGTTCGCAAAAACCATAAACAAGACCTTAAGTAGGAAAATTAAAGTCAAACTCAGCAGACAATTAAACGACTAAGGCGGCTTGGCTTAATACATTGTGACAAAGATTTAATTACCTGTAGTAATATTTATTTATAATACTTAATAGTTTTAGATAAGTTTAGTTTTTTATTTATATTATTATAAGTGTGCTTCAGCTATAGCCTTAAAGGCATATTGTTAATTTAATTTTAAATTAACAATATGCCTTTAAGGATTTAATTTAAAAAAATTAGGCAATTGCAACTTTCGCTTCGGCCAAAACTCTATCTTAAATAAGCTTAAAAAATAAATAGTAATAGAATATTCTTTTATATTATAGGGAACGATTTTTAATGGAATAAAAAAACAACAAAGCAAGCATATAATAGAAATGTTTCAAAGTTTACTTTAAAATATCTGAAAATAGTTCCCAAAATTGCTGTTTGCAGTATTTAGTCTGAATAAATATCGCTTTTTCCATTAATAGTTAATTAAAATTGTATCGAGAAACTTACCTTTTTTTATGTTTTCCACGACAAATTATTATAAACTCCTAAAACGGTCTACTTTCATAACAAAATGGAAACGTTATGAGACAACGGTAGGAATTACCTGCATGTTGCAATGGCCGAGGCTATACGTCATCAACCTATCACACGCATTCAAAGTGTGTCTTTATGCGAACACTTAACACTGACATTTGTGCTTATCTAGCTTAGAACAAGTTTCGAGACAATCATCAAGGTTTTATATCACCAAAAGAGAAGCCTTTTAACAGTCTGTTTGTTTTTTATCCATAAAACATCTAATTAATAATAAATTTATACAATCACGACTTTTTCGGTTTTCATTATGAGATCTAAGATTTTCGCGATTTTTATTCATTTAGATGAAACTAATATTTTTCGGATATACTATGCCACTTTATTTTTCATAAAAACTACATACTCCCGACGCGACGTTTCGGCTACTTTTCAGCAACCATGATCACAGACAGACAAGATGTCTCGTAGTATATCCGAAAAATATTAGTTTCATTTTTTGACTTTCATTTGCGTTTTCTTGTTGAAACATTTTTATCGAAAAGATATTGAAGTAAAAATGGACAAATGCTAGCAGTGGCGGCCGGTGGGTAATCCAACCGGTGGTGCACTTTACTAAAATATTAAAATTAGAAAATACAACAAAACAATATAACTTGATGTCAATCATGGCTCAATTCGTCATACATCGGGTGCTCTCGGTAATCTTCGGCCGCTCTTGCGGCGCTCGAGAACCGACTCATTACTCGGTACATTTCTATGAACTATCTTTTGTTTCACGCGTCAGGCGTATTAATGCGTATCTCATACAAGATGTATTAGCAGTCCTCCTGCACTCGCCGAAGCGCACGATATGAGTTTAGTACAGCGCTCAAACTTTTTGACCATAATTAGGAAATTTAATTTTTTATACGTTTTTATATGTTTAAAAAAATAAATATTAAAATGGTAATTTAAAAATAAAGATGAAGTAATCTTTTGAATTGGTGGTTCAGCGCACGAGTGCACTTAAGGTACAGCCGCCACTGAATGCTAGTAACCATTTTATGTTGTTTATATTTAGTTATACAGGGTGACTGGTGAGTTACTATCAATATTTAAGGACGTGGTAGTTGACGATCATATATGACAAAATAAAAATTAATATAACATAAATATTAATAAACTTCTAAGTAAAGTTAACCAAAAGTTATGTAATTAATTACGGATCGCGTGGATACCCTAGCTGCGTTATCGACACAAAACAGTTATGTACGTAGGTATATGTAGTTATCGCGCGGTAGTTTACCTACATCCAAACGCCGCGCGCCGCCGCGTGTTAGACCTTAGATAAACAAAAATGATCCATTTCCCTTCATACTTTAATCCTGGCTTAGGACAGGCAAAAATACCAAGATATTTCTTTCGTTTAAGCAACCAATTTATTGTGACTAGGTAAATGGTGTGACCTTGACACAAAAAAAAATATGAACTGTTTACCTATCTTGGTATTTCCGGCGTATTTAAAAATGGAATCATACTTATTTACAACAATTGTCAATCATTAAACTACCTATTTACCTACATAACTACACTAACCTTAACAAATGTTCAAAGTGAGCTCCTTCTCGTGTGATACACAGTTCGGCACGTTTACACATATTGTCTTTCACACGATTTAATACGAATGGGTCACTTTTAATAGTTTTGAAATCACTATTGATTTTTAATTTCAACTCCTCTCTGTTTACATACTCTGTAGCATACACAAGACGTTTCCTTGGGCATGTGTTGGAACACGGAACTGTCCGAAGTCTCGCAATCTTTGATTAGCGTTTAAGATGACGCTGGCCGTAGGTACTCGACGATTGGGGAACATCTCCCGGTACAAATTGATTGCGCCCCGCAAGCTTTCATTTGCACGCGCATACGCATGAACCATGTCCAAGTATTCTGCATTTGTGTATTGAAAAGCCATATTTAATTACTAATAAGTAATAACGGGTCACACGCACACACGACAGATTATTATTAGGTATACGCGTAAGATCGATCGCTAGGCGCGCGCGCGGGAAGACGAACGTACGGACCTTACGGCGGCGCTCGCGCGACTAATAGCCGACTAATGGCCCGCTAGCCACGGGGCGGGGGTTGGGGAGTAGCGACACACTGGCGCCGGCAAGGCACGTGTCCAAACTTTATTTATTTATACGGAAATTTGGTCAAAAATTAAGTACCTATTTTTTTTACATAATTCGAATGAGAATCATGTACCGAGTATGCTCCTTAAATATTGATAGTAACTCACCAGTCACCCTGTATATTTAACTCTTTTAAAATATCTAAATTTAAGTGATAATCGCGAATAACTAGGATTATGATATTTATATACTCATACACATGTAGATGCATATTTAATGAAGTGGTAATGATGAAAGCCGGATAATTATACAGTCAAAGTTGTGACTATTTGATCGTTGTCATTCTTTTTATTTAAGTGTATTAACATTATATATTTAACTCGATGATTTTATCAAATCAGCAGGGCCAACAGCAATAGCGGAATAAAAAAAAACACTAGATAAGGAAATTCCTACATATACCCACATTACTTTAACAAGGAACGTTCTTAGTCCACGTTCTCGTCACACTACATACGAAGAGTTTTCCTGTTTTTATTCAATAACCAACGTTATATTATAATGTACGACGGTTTATTAATAACAAACTGTTAACGCCCCGTATGTAGAACAACGATGCCAACTTTGACTAAGCCATACATTTTCTATACAAAATAACTAAATGTAAACGTGACGGAAACATCTCAATGACATAAACAACATTTATAATTGTTGGGTCACGGTTAGACGTAGTTTAGAGAATAATGTTTTTTGTATGACAAGAAAATGTATATGTACCAACTGTTTAATTTTTTTATCCTTAAGTAACATAGATTTGTATATATACAAATGTTGTTATAAAGAATTGTACAAGTACAGAAAATAAATAGAAATATTTCTTTAAAAATACACATATTTGTTTTTATAACATTTCCGATGACGTGTTTATTATAATAAAGATAAAATCCTCACATCCATAAAAATCAGGCACTCGTTCATTATAAATGATAAAATACTAGTGACTAAAAGTTTTTCTCAAAAAAAAACATAGTTTAGAATTTTCTGGAACTAAAAAATTAACTACGTTTTAATCCGAATATGGATTTAGTATAAATGAAATAACAATTTGCATAAATTTATTTATTATAGGTATTATTATAAAAGGCTTGTAATTTAAAATTGATAAAAATGTAAAATAAAAAACTAAAAGCTTCGATTTCTATTTTTGATGAGAGATTATCTTGACCAAAAAGTTACAGACAAGTCAGATTTAACTTTTAAGAATTTTCTGTAGATTAAATACGAGGAAAAACAAATTAAACAATGAGAATGCTTTTGAAAATTTTAATTTTTTCCTTCATACAAATACTTTTGTGCTAGTTTCATCATTTTCTAGGTGTTAATATAACGGGGTAACCAATAGACGATGTTACCGATATTGAGAATCCAACTTGAAGATCACTGTACTTGTATGTGGACGTCAAGTAATATTCCTGGATAATCATTATGACTATTATTTTTATCATACTTGTACCAAAAAAGCGGCCTAAAAATATGAATATTCTAATAAAAAAGTAATTATTAAATCATATGTATTATCTATCAAGCTTCGTTTAAACACAGACCTAAACAATCCATAGGTCCTAAACTGAAAGGAAAATAGCAATAAGCATTACGCTTCTTCATGTTTTCAGTGGAAAATCTCTCTGGATCGAAAGACTCTGGATTTTCCCAAAACCTTGAATCTCGATGCATATGATATAACGGTATCACGAGCGACGAACCAGCTGGTAATGTACATGAACCTGTAAATATACAATAACACCTGGAACTTTCACACGATAAGTCAAACATATCATACAACACACACACAATTAAATGTCATGTCATTTTAGGAATAAAAAATTCTAGTCAATTAAGTCTGTCATATTGATAATAATATAGGTAGACAATGTTTTTTGAGTTGTCGAACCATTTAAGGAATTCATGTATGGTAAAGTACATAAAAAGTATTTAAAAAATATCTTTTAAGTATAACATGTTTATAAATAGGAATATTTTCGAATTTACTTATTGTAATGTCTTCATTAATTTTCCTTTGAAGCACCACACCAGTTGGAAACAGCCGAAGAACCTCTTTGAAAATCATTTCTAAATACGGCATCTGCTTTAGGTCCTCTTCAGATATAGGTTTATTTTTATTTCTTAACACGCTCGTAATTTCATCATAAGCTTTTTTCTGGAAACAATTTCAGTCAACTACAATTTTTAATACTTATTAATATTTTGTATTATAAGCTTCTTATTACTATAGACACCAGTTCTTCCAGATAATACATTATTCACTTAGAAATATTGAAAAGAGTGTTTACTCCCTGTTTTATTTGCTTGTATTTTAAATACCTGACATTGCGGATGAAACGCCAACATCAATAGTAATGAAGCAGCTAGTTTTGCTGTTGCTTCTTGACTCTGAAAGAGGTAAACAGTTTTTCTAATATAAACTTCCTTAACGTATTTTATTTTATAATTTAGAATACATTACAGCTGTAAAGATAGTGAAGATTTCATATTTCAGATCCGTAGCATCAAGTTCTCTAGAGAGTATAAATCTGTCCACAACACTCAATTCTGTGTTATTGAAGGAATCCTTTTCGGTATCTAGTAGTTTTAATTTGTCCTCATCTATATCTGCCAATTTGTTAATACGTAGTTTTATAACAGCACTACAGAGTTCATCCGTACGGGAAACGAATTCTTTTTCTACTTGGTATGATTTGGTCAACCAAAAAACTGGTTCTATTTGCATGAACCATTTCGTCATTCTTTCGAATATTATCGTATATATTCTGGAATATGGAGTTGTTTTAAATATATCTTACAGTACTATACATGTTGGAATATAATTCATACTTATATCCAATATACATTTTACTCACTGGGGACTTTCGTCTATAATATATTGAAGATGTGGTAATTCCAAAGTCTCCTTCCTTGTAAGTCCCAGTAAGGTTTCTTCGAAAGTATAATAATTTTATTAATATAAGATATAGAAAAAGTATTAAAAATATAGATAAAAATACTTGCGACAGACAGAGTAACTGGTGCTCTGAACAATATACTGGTAAACGTCTACCTCTTCTCCAAATCTTATTTCTTTTAATTTTTCTAATAATATATCTGCTTCCATGTTAAATACATTAAAATAACTTCCCGTTGCTTGTTTACCAAAGTTTGGTGTTGCTATTTTGCGATGTTTCCTCCATACTGCACCTGATTATTTAAACATTATGTATCAAATTGTTGACTAGTTTTTTATGTCTACAATAAGACCGACAAAAACTGGTCAACAACAGGAACTTTAAGCACTAGTAAACACAAAAAATATGTAAATTAATTTCTCATACAACTATGATACAACTCATACTGTGATTTTTTTTAAGTTTGGGTTAACAGGGTTCAATAAACTGTGAAAGATAAATAACATTTATGAAAAAACAAATGTTCTACCTGACCCACTCAAGAGTCCACGGCCTATGTAGCTCTTAAAATATTTGTACTGTTCACCTTTTACGCTAGTTTTATTACTGGATAGGAGAAGCTAAAAAAAAGGATTTAATTTTTTTTATATAATTTTTACGACCTGAATAAAATGATTTTTTTTACACCGTAAATGAAAGTTCATAAAAATCCTTTAATCCTTAAACCAATTATTTAAACTTCAGTAATAAGTCTGATTACAATCGATTACTTTACTATCTTCTTTCAGATGATATATTATGTAACAATAAGTTACCCTTATCCTAAGACAGTTGATATTTAGAATTAAATTCAAAAACAGTTCAGATTAACACATTTTCGAATTTTTAAACATAGCTAAAATATAGCATATCTTATAAATCAATGTTTCTAATCTTAAAACATATATATTTTTGGTAATTACCTTCAGATCATCGGGATTGCTGACTATTATATTAAGATCCATCCCAAGCCAAAATTTAAGAACTTCCCCATACTGGTTCATCAAGTTCTTAATTAATATTTTGAGCTCTGTGGAATGGACGAGTTTAAAAATGCTAATTGAACAATAATATCTTATCAAACCAGAAATACAATATCTAGCTTCCAGTGTTCTGTCTTGAATCTTAACAAATTTCTTTTTTTTATTACTAGCTATCCATAATTAATTTAATATGATTAGAATTTAAGTTATAAAAATAATTTCAATTAGATTATTACAGTGATATATATTCCTATGGATTATTTAATATATACATTAAACAAATGTTTGTTATACAGTTATTCGTATCACTTTTGTTCTAGTTAATTTACAAATAGTTATTTAATTATTTTAGATATGTTTAAGAATATCATATAAGAAATTAAAATGTATTAATATTCGCAATTTCATGTGAAACTATATTCGTCATTGCTGTAATTTCGCTAAAGTTAAGCTTTATTTGATATTTATAACACTAGATTTCGCATGTGGCTTTGTCTATATGGAAATTTTTCATCTATTATAAATAGTTTATCCTGTCTTAATCTTTTAGCGACATCTATGAAGAACTACAGTAAGCCGTTGTTTATAAATTTCATACCTTTGTTATGGACCATAAATTTAAGAGCATTTCCTAATATAGGCAGTGGCGGTGGTCCTGGTATTTTATCAGCCATTTTAATTAATTTTCTGTTCCTGTATCTCCATTGCAGCCACAATATCATCAAGGCTGTAAACGTCAAAGTAATCGTCCAGAACATCTTTTGATTTGGAACAAAATCTGTAATGATATAATAGCTGAGTTTATTTGATAGTTGTGTTTGGAATTTGTTAGTTTATTTTCCCCGAAATGTATATACGCTATATTATTTATTTCATTTATTTATTCATATAGTAAACGTTGACGTCCACATTAGGCTAGGCCTGTATCGTGGGCATCGATTAATTTCTAGCAGACACGATTCAGTAAATACTAAACCATAAACTAAAAACCATATTAATTCTCCCTCATAATTTCTTATCATTCTATCATCTGTATGTAAAAATAGATTTATTCTATCAATATATGAACCTGAACTTATTTTTCGTACAATATTTTGCACTCTATCTATCTATCTAATATATACAATAATTTAAATTGTTTGAGTGATAGCGACTCTCTTTATATTAACCTATTGGTTTAAAAAAAAAGTATTTAGGAATTTAAAACGAGAATTTATCTTTTAATTCACGTCATTCCTATGCCACTTTACGTAGACCAATAAAAATGGATTCAATTCAATAATTATTTCAAAAAATCTGAGAGCCCACTGAACGTTTTAGTGAATTAATCAGAAGTATATTATATCCTTTAAATATTGTACTATTTCAAATTTACTTTAGCTTATTTTAAGTTACACTATAAAATTAAAGATTTATTTAAACTTACGTATTATCTATGTTCAATGTTGAGCTCAGACTTGTCTAGAAAAATGAATGCAAATCTTATTATCATACCGGTTGGGAACACGAAATCCTACTTAGCAATGTTTCATTCAAATCAAGTTATTATTTTACTGATTAACAAAAGACACCAGTCTTTGCTTGTTATTATATACTTTGATTAATTTAACTTCAAATTTTCAAAACAATAACTCAACTAGACATTTATATTTACATAGTATATTCCAAGCTTTTTACTTTATTAAACTATTTACATGCATATTTTAATCAGTATATCTTCTGAGTTTTTTTTTACGGTTCTGAATAATAAATAATATTGATATAATGATTATTTGTTACTTTCCCTCAACTTTTTCTGCAATATTGCAGTTAAAAAAATGCAAAATATACCTAAACTAAAATATAATTTAGGTTTTCATTTCTTTATCTAGTTTAATTGTATGATCCTTATGTTTTTTTTAAATGTTACGGACGTTTCAAAAAAATTGGTAGAAGAAAATATTTGTAGGGAATCTTTTTCACATGCTAGAATACTAATTAAATATATTTTATATGAATTTATTTTTCTATACATACCTACAGACACGTTATTTCATAATTCACCAAAATTTGTACAATTCTAAAAATTACAGAATATATATTTTTAATTAAATAGTTTTTTTTTTAATTATAATATTAATATCTTAATGTTTCTAACTATATAATTACAATATTTTAATTTGAAATAATTCCTGTACAGAGGTTTAATAACACCTTGTAAAAGTTTCCGAGTATAATTGCGCTATTAAAATAATTATCTGCGGAAAATGTTTTACTTCGTCGTACGTACATTAGACCTATGGGTGTTCGTTATGATATTTTGCTTAAGAAAAACAAAATTAAAAATACCGTCGCAATAAAATTAATAACTGATTGGTTTTAGTGAAAAAAAAACGGTTAAAAATGTTAGTATGTATAAAAATAGCATCCAATTCTTCACCTTGACTCTAAGATTAGTGTTGACGTAGACTTTGTTATTTTGAACAATTTTTTCTCCATAATTTTTATTACGTCTTTTATTGATTTTTTCAATCACTAACCTGCCAAATAATTATGAAACATGCCAGATTTAGGTCACTACGAGTTAGTGGAATTAGTATATAAATTAAGTTTTTTTTTTTCAAATAGTAACAAATCTTCTATTCTTTACAATTATGAAAATTACGGTGGTAAATTCAATAAAATAATATATTAAAAGTTAGGTATGAAATAAGCAACTTTGAGATGTGACATGTTAGTTCATTGGATGCAGTTAATTGAAGAAAGTTTTAATATTAACTGAAGTTATCAAATAAATATTAAATGAAAAAAATCTGATAATTTTGTGACTATTTTAAATTATCTTCTGATTTAACAGAGATCAAGTTGCGAAATATTTTTAAATTCTGTATCACGATTTCTCGAAGGACATCCACTGTTTCTTATCTTCTAAGTTGTTTAAGTTTTTTTTATATATACATATATATTATTTGACATACATATACAGGGTGACTGGTGAATTACTATCGATACTTTAGGACGTGATATTTGACGATCATATATAACAAAATAAAAATTAATATAACATAAATATTAATAAACTTCTAAGTAAAGTTAACCAAAAGTTATGTAATTAATTACGCATCGTGTGAACACCCTACAGATTAGGTATAAACACACACTCACACAGACGCGGCGGCGGCGTAGTGTTGTATCAGCACGCCGCCGCACGCGTCCACACTTGGAACACTTGGAACGTGTACACACTTTATTTATTTATACGGAAATTTGGTCAAAAATTAAGTGCCTATTTTTTTTACATAATTCGAATGAGAATCATGTACCGAGTATGCTCCTTAAATATTGATAGTAATTCACCAGTCACCCTGTATATTTTCTTGAAATTTTATATTTTTGTTCGATTAATAGGTACATTTTCTTGCTCGATATTTTAGTTATAATTTTTTTCAACTTCTATTGAAAGTTTTAGAATTCTTATTTTGGAAGAATTCACATATTTTAATTCATTCCCTAAAGCTGTTCAGTTCGGTTGCGTGACGAATTGATACTGAAAGTGATAGCAACCACTAAATGCGATTTGATACTTGCAGAAATTCGATGAGGTGATATATGTGCAAGATATGTGAAGATTAAATTACAATATTATACATTCTAGTCATTGAGAAGAGAATGGAAACAAGTCAAAGGCCAAACTCACGAACTTTTTCTCATACTAAGGATATTGATTTTCTAGGAACGAATTGATGCCAAAAGACAATGATACTCCTTTAATAAAAGAAATTTTTAAATATTTCAAAATTATTCTTATATTTTGAACAAAGAAAGATTATACAAACTTTTGGTTTAGTTCTCATATTGTATAAAAGTAAAGTATAATAAAATTAAAGGTCAGCATTTTTTTTTTGTTCAAGAAAACTTAAAATTTCAAATGCAAAAAATTCAGAAAATGGAAAAGAATTCATACAAAATGATTAAATTATACGTAGTAATTAATATAATATAAAACCAAAATGTTCCCAAAAACAAGCATTATAAATTTCTCCACTTTGCTCGTGTCAAAAATTGCTTTGCACACATTTTGTTATATAAATAGGTATACAATTTTATAAATCCAAAACTTTATGATAATATAAAAAGAATTATAAGAAAAACTCAATGAATTTAAATTAAACATAATTTAATTCATATTTATAAATATCTAACATCTGTTATTAGTCATAAATCAACTTTTTAGTTTTGTAACTGTTTTCAATCAATATTAATAGTGACTTGCTCGCTATATAAAATATCAGTGTATATCAAAATCGGAATAAAATATCCTTATGCTATTTTTATAAAAGTATAATCCAAATTTTTTGCGGTAAAACAAAACCATATTTCATATTGACTTATAAGTGTTTAATTTTTATTGTTTTCCCTAATCATTTCATTTCATTAGAATTGTCGTATACATAACTATTTATTGCTTATAGTCTAGTCGACTAGTTGAAAATTGTACAAAATAGATATATGGCTGTTAAAATTATGTGCGGTAGCTCATTCGATCTCAAAATACGCCTGGAATTATGTACCAATAGCGTGTATTAGCATGTAAAAACTGCATAACTAATAGTATAATTATGATCCTGTTTTCATGCACTTGTTCTGTTGTTGTTTCGTTTCTTTACTCTCAGATTGTATCCTTTAGCGAACTTCACCGATATTGCTACGTCTAGCTCCAGTTCCTCCAAAGTCCCATCAGCTTCTAACTTCAGCTGTCGTATGACTTGGACCACAATTGTTTTGATTAATTTTGTCGCATAAACTCTACCTGTTGAAATAAACAAAATGTTTCATCATTTTTATAATAATACGCGTTGCTGATTAATTGATAAATATTATGAGTTATATTAACTAGCACTGTTGAAAGCGAATGTAGAAAATGATATCGCAGAGGACATCGCTTGAGATTTAAAAGGAAGATTAAATAAAATAAGTTCGTAATGATTACCCAAACAATCCATGGGTCCCAAACTGAATGGTATGAAAGCATTCGGGTCGCGATTCTTTACATTTTCCGGCAGAAATCTCTCCGGTTTCACTTTATTTGGTTCGTCCCAGTAGCGAGGATCTCGGTGCAACTCGTGTATTGGTACTACCAACGATGTGTTGACTGGAAGGGTAATTTTACCTGGAAAATATGATTTAGTCCATAATTAGTATAACGGCAACCCGAATATCTATCAAAATACTTATCAAGTTTTGTCAAACTAATTTTCCGGTTCATACCGTCGATGGTATTTAAATAAAACTAATATTTTTCCGATTTACTACGCGTTTATATGATGTGCCATATCTTTCAGCCCATGATCACGATTGCTGCAAAGTAACTGAAACGTCGGGAGTGTATTGTTAAAAATAATTTTAAACGCGTAGTAAATCCTGAAAATATTAGTTTCGTTTCAATAAATTTTTGCGAAAATCTCTTATCATCGTTTGAATTAAATTATTCAACCCAGTCCATTCAGTTGTTTTAGGTGAATCTGTGATAGTTTTATACTTTTTTTATGCTTTCTACAGAAATAAACGGTTCGGAAAATCGTTTCAAGCGCCAGTGAAGGATTTTTCAGCAAATATTATACATATTATATATAATAATTGCCGAATATACTATATTCAGTTACTACAAGAACAAGCAAAACTATTGAGTAAAGAAATCAACCCACAATGTTTTAAACTTACGAGAAATCAGTTAGGAAACCAAGGTTTTAACCTATGTAAATATATTTCCTGGTATATAAATCGAAACATACATATAACAAAAATAACAGAAATAAAGATTTTTTAAAATCATTACACTGTTATTTATATCATTAAAACAAACAAACACGTTATGAATGTGTTTGAAAGTATTTTTTAACAACTTAGCTAATGGCTACCCCAAACTTCCTATATATGTATATTATATAAAAAAAAATCCTAATTATTATTAATTTGTTTAAATTCTAGTTGAGGTTATTCATGTATATCTTATGCTTCTGAAATTCTAACCCCAACTCGCATATTACATATATTCGTATTTAGTCTTTAACTGATAAATACGGCTACACAAACATGAAACATCATGAAGAAGCAAAAAAATTACACTCTTAATATTTATCTTAAAATTTGCAGTGTTTACTTTAAAAACTAATATCTAAGCTCAGTTATCATAAAACTTAATTAAATGTAATAAATAACTCAGTATCTGAGTAGGCATTAAATTGCTCATAGCTTATAAAGTAATTATTCAATCATATTACTCCTTTTACATATATTCAAATAGATTCATGTTTATTTCAAGGAATCAGTCAATTAATTACTCCCGTTTATAGCTATGACCCTTCTAATAAAGCCTTACAAGTATTTCAGTTCTTAAGTTTTATATTAATTGTTTATTGGGACATATTAGTCGTTCTTGTATACCGCCTTGAAATATTAAATTTTTGTATAATTTTAAGTGTTTAATAAAATGTACAACCAAATTCTAATGGATCAGGAAGAGAAACTTATTTTACATATTTTATAAAATTAAATTGAACATCACGAGTAATTGCGTCGGTTTTTTATTTGAACAGAAACTAAAATCTAAAGCTAGTGCCACTATATCATTTATAAGCCCACGTGGCTACTACTACAACTGGATTTTTTAAAATTAAAAACTAGATTCTCTCCGTATTTCTTTCGACAAAAGTCATTGCAAATTTGTGTTAAGGTTTAGATTTACATATCGTCATAAAAAAACTTGTTTTCGAAATCGAAGTCGAAAGTCGCAAACTTTTGCTAACATTGTTATCTATTTATAGAAAATATTTGAAATAGGAATTAAACCAAAAAAAATATATATTTTTTTAAATAATTAAGAATATAACTTCGAGTCAATATTGCTATATATAAAAAGAAGGCGTAAACATAAATTTTGTAATAAAGAAGCTTTATTCATATTTTACTTATGGAGTGTAATCTCAAGGACAGACGAACCATTTAATCAATATGACTTCATTTTAAGCATATATATTTTCAATTATTTATTTTCAACCTCATACTCTTACGCAGAAAATTATTTTGTGTACCACATTGTTTATACTATAAACAAGTGCAAAGACACGCGAAGTTTGCTTGAGCAGTGGCATATACGTTACAAAGAACGAAAATATAGGTCATATTGTTTCTAATAATGTTGTTTTCTTACCATTGTTGATAGTCATCTCTTTTTCGACAGTTCTTTGTAGCATGGACCCTATGGATAAATAGCGCAGAACTTCCTTGTACACCATATCCAAGTTATGAAGACTCTTGAGGTGTTCCTCGGTAACCTCATCTCTCAAGCCAACCGTAGCCAGGATTTCGTCGTAGACTCTCTCCTGAAAAATATATATGTATTGTAGTGTTCAAAGAATGTGTTATATAATTTGGATTACTTTTTAAATTTTTCGTTTAGACATACAGAACATATTTTAAAAAGTTTGAAGTGACATTCATGGAATTTTTTCAACATTTTGGTGGGTTTTAAACATTTAAATAAAATTTTTTCGTCACATTACCTTGTCGGTGTATGCGTTTTCTAGTTTTAAATGAGATGTTTCGTGTCTTTCGCAAGAATCATCTTTTAGTAGATAGAGGAATTATAATGAAATAACTTAGATTAATAAATTCTTAAATCGTTCCATGAAATTAAAGCACGTTATTAAAACAGATATAATTTTTGAATTGACTGAAGAAACTTCTGAGTGACAATAAGGGTTCTCCATAAAGGTTTATAACTCCCAAATGCAAAAAAAAATTGGTGTTATAAGTGTGTATGCTTTATGTGTATATGTGTCTATCTAATGTAGGTCTTAAACGGATTTTTTGATGAGGTTTTCTGCTTTTGAAAGCATGATAGCAGTGTAAGGGTATCAGGTATTTGCTAAAATACTGTAAGGCATTGTAACACACGATTACTTGATTAAGTACCTCACGCATGCTAGTATATTTGTATAATTACAATCGAAGCGTTGGCGGCAGGGGTTTTTCAATTTAATAAAATTTATTTATCGATAATATTATTGCTATTAATAATACACGCGCCATAATTATTCATATGGCACAAATTGATAAGGAAAATCAAAATACATTGAGCAAAATGGCTATTAATAGTGGCAGTTTAACTTTAATTGATGATTCTTTATGTACTATAATAGGTATGGCGTATAAATCTTTATGATTTTACGATAAACTTAAGTTAAATACCTAACCTGTTCTTTATAATATTCTATGCATATAAAATAATATTAATTGTGAAGTAATTATCCGCTGCACAATCATATAAAACGCCCATTATTAAACAGCTTATTTTAACAGCGTACGAAAGCAAATAATTTTTAAAATTAAATTATCAAAAGTACGCCATGACAGTATAAATGTCATTGTCTTGTCATGTCATGTTCTTGTCAAATTTTTAATGCCGTTAAAAACAAGTTTACTTCTATATTTTTATTATACCGTTACATAGTGGACATTTTAACTATTTCAAAATTTCAGTCAGTACTATTACATACCTGCCAATCGGGAAGATGTGCAAGAAATAGAAGTACACCAGCAACTATTTTGGCCGACGCCTCTTGACTCTAAAAATATGTGATTGACCACTAAATAATATTTAAAAATCTTATTTAATTTACGAGCTTTCAAATAGATAATACTCACTGTTGTAAATATAGTGAATATCTCTAATTTAATTTCTTCTTCATCTAAAATTTCCAAAATGAGTCTATCAACTGCGTTCATACTATTTTCTGTGACTTCATGTTTCAATGCGTTTTTTCTTTTCTGTAATACGTCCGATGTCAGATCGTCAACCATCTTAATATAATTATCTTCTATTCGTTTTCTTCCAGAGAGATAGTAAATAATAGGTATGTGTAACCACCATCTTGTCATTTTTAAATGTATTAATTGATACATACTGAAAAAAATAAAATTAATTACTTGACGGACACGAGTATAGTGAGTAACATAAAACTATTTTAATTACTCCATTTTAAATGGTATCAATATTGTTGTGGATAAAACAAATAGGTTTTTTTTAATTTCCTACACATGTTGGCTAAGATTTAAGTTATTTAATATGTACGTCTGTAATGTAAAGTTTCAACAAAGATTGTCATAGATTTACTTGTGTGTCTCCAACATCACTTCTCTCAAACGGGTAAGATTTAAGGATTCTTCCTTCGTAAGTCCCAATAGTGTTTCTGAAAACGAAATTTTTCAATAAAAAATTTGTATCATTTGAATTATATTTATTCGGGGATATTTAATAAACTCACGACAAACGCTTTGGGTGGTGCAGTTAACAACGTCAAAGTAAACGTTGAACGTCTGATGCGGGTCTTTTTTACTTAAAGCCTTCGCTAAATCCTCAGCCTCTTTATTGAACACCGAACTGAATTGTTGTACTGCTTTCTTGTTGTACGATGGCATAACAATTTTCCGATGTGCCTTCCAATGCTTACCTGAAACATAATTTTATTTTTGGTAAAATATTTTGGTATTCAAAAAAAGTTAATTGTTCTCAGGCTTTTATGTTCATATAATTAAGTATCGAACATACCGCCAGTTAAAATACCATCCCCTATGAAGTTCTTGAAGAATTCATACACCGGACCTTTTTGATTAACTGTGTTACTTGTCAACAGGAACTAATGAAATATTAAATATTTTTTTTAATAATTTCAGTAACCATAAAACAATTCTAAATAAATATCACACATACCCTTATATCCGCGGGGTTTTTGACGCAAATATTCAAGTCTGGGCCCAACCAAAACTTCACATAGTCTCCGTATTTACTCGTTAACTGGTTTACTATTTTTAATTGTTCTGAAAATAAATCAAACTGAATTCGTTTACTTTGTTTTATTTTTATATTTTATGTATGTAACATTACAAACCTTTCGCGTGAACCATGAATATTAAGGCATTTCCCAGTAGAGGCAGGGCTGGGGGTCCCGGAACTAATTTTGCCAGTTCCAACATACGACGATGTGTCCATCTCCAATAGAACCAATAAAGTATCAGAGGCAGAAATATTATAATTACAATATATGTGAATTCCATTCCTTTGTTTGTTAAAACTGAAAATTATTAAAACTATAAGACAAATGGATCCTTAAAGTCATTTTCAAAGTAATGTTAGAAAAAATGTAAATAATAATAAACGAGTATCAACCATTTCTAATCCTCAGTTATGAAAGCGAAAACTGAAATTGTAAAAAAATAAGCTTACTAAGTTACTACTTTACAGAGAAACAACTCATTTAAATTAACTTATGTATACATAAAATTGCATTACCCCTCCTAATTTAATAACATCAAAGTTAATTGAAAAATCCTGTATATTCTACTCTACTTAATTACAGTACCTATATATTATTATTAACAAAGCAATATAAAACTCTAAGTACTTTTAAATTCTAATGCTCGGAAGAGGAAAAACTACAGTTTAAATTTATCTGATCCCTCGACCTATCACAAGTATAATCCTTGATGTAATGCTGAGATCCTAAATGATATATAATATAAATTTAAAAATAATTGTTACATATACCTAATACATCTGTGAGTTTATCTACCTTCGATCACTTTAATAGGCGGAACAGATTTGTTAAAGTTGTAATAACAGTCAAAACGCTGTTTATCTTAAACTTGTTTTTGTCACGTTTTTCACTGAATTAATTAATTACAGCAATTATAAACCATACAATGAATAAAACATAAGCTAAGATTTGAATTGATTACAAAAGTACATGTAAAGGATTCCTTTCTTTTGGAGGACATTTAGGCAGTCGCAAAAAATATATGTCAATCAATACAGTTTTAAACTAGATTTATCTAGTATAGTAATAGTTATTAATATTAAACAGATGCAGAGTTATTGAGACAGTAATTGGTAACTTTATCCACTGCAATACCTTCATATAAGAAACTTATAGGAACATACATATGTATATATATGTATATACCAACATCACATTTATACAAATAAATAAAATGGGATTGTCGGTTTGTAATATTAAAAAAGTTTTATAAGCAAACGCATATGCAACTCAACCTCACATTACGTATAGAAAAACAGATTTTTTTATGTTTGCCATTTTTTTCAAGCTGAAACTGCTTAGCATATTTTTACAGGACTTACATTAGCCGATGTTATAAGGAGCACTTGGCGTACCCACTTTATTTTATTAATGTACCAATAAAAAATATAAACTCCACAAGAACCAAGTCGCGAGCACAACGAACTAAGCGATACTTATTCGTAATCTGAAACTCGTATGTTCAGTTTTTTATAATATAAATCATATTAATCATATTTTGTCTAAAAATAATTTAAGAATCTAGTAAACAAAAAATTGGCACAGCACTTAAAAAACAACAATATAAATCGCTTATTTCGTATTGAATTTTAAAAGTTTAAAATTAACACAAAATAGAAATAAATATAAATAATAATTCTTAAAAAAAAATAGAAAGTACCTACCTTCACCACAAAAAAAACTGTGCCACAGAATTCGTTATAAATGTTAACGAGAATTTTATAGGACCAATGTCAACGTGCGTGCGTATCAGTTGTATTTTTTATAATAACTTGTCTGAGATCCAAACGCTTGAAATTAGGAATATGGATATAAATAACCTTCTCAAATTAACCAATAGTCGGAAAAGCACAAGTGAAGGTTCGATGGTGTATATGAGAAGAGGCGGAGGCTGATTTATAGACATACGTTTGTTATGATGGTGTTCATTATTACCTTAAATATTCGTCAGTTATCAAGTATTAAATTAATTACGAATTTAACTAGTTATTTCAGAAATATATAACACCTTATATATGTTCACATCACACGAAAATTACCAAATTAGTTCAGGTTATGGTGGAAAATTTTAAAATGCCTAAAAAACCCCCTTTTTGTAAAAAAGAATTGGCTAAAAATATTCTAATCTACCATTTAATACTGAAGACATAGTTTTTCAATAGGTAATAATTCTATTTTAACTTTTGGTAACGGTACAATATTTAAAATCATAAGATTTTGTTATTCTGTTTTGTTTATGTAATCAAAACTAAAGTCCAAAAAAATTATTCTTTTTATCCAAGGTTATTATATATAAATTATAGGCTATACGACAATATATTAATATGTGACATACATATTAATAAGGTTCTTTTAAACTCATTAATCTTTGGACTATTATTTTTTTATGAAAATTATTTCCATCTAAGTACAAAGATTACTTCGGAGTAGGTTGAAATTGATTTCATTATTTAAGCCTGTTCAAGAATTTCCTAAAGAAGGATATAGGATTCGAAAACAATGTGTACAAAAAAATATTTACAAAACTTGCTCCCCTCGATAACTTCCTACATCGAAAGAACAATCTACATTGTGGTATATCAGGTGTACCTTTTCATGGTCGTGGAGCTGACACAAAATCATACAGAAAAAAAATGAAATCTAGAACGTAGAAAGGATATTTGTGAAATAATTGTGCTCTCTAAAATTAACACACGTATTCTCCATTCACATGCTTATTAGGACCTTTACTGCGACTAAGTTCAAAGAGGAAAATGATTTAAACAAAGTATGTAATTCCAACATTATCCTCGAACGATTTACGTGAGAAGTTAAATTTAAAGTGACAGAGAACGGACCTTTGCGTAATTTTATTACAACATATATGATATAATTGCACAATTCCAGTGATAATTTTAAAAAAATATTCTTAAGTTTAACATTCCAAAGACAGCTACTATCGGAAAATATAACGATTGAATTCCAATATCGATTTGGTCAAATAATCAATGTCCAATAGCAGCGATATACTAAAATTCACAAAAACAAATGTATACGCACAACTTAAAACATTTTTTTTCGTCCCCGTTTTGTTTACACGGTAATAAAATAAGCGAAACCTATGATCAGTCGTTATGGATTGTACATGAATTCGACGCAGACTTTTTTTTTTGTTATGAAAAGCGTCACCATTTTTTCATAATATTAAATTATGTTTACGTCCACATCGTCGAAATATTAAAATATTAAACATAAAACTTAACCCAGCACCAATAAACCTTTTTTTTGTATTTGTAACCGGCTTTTTGGTTTTAACTTTTAAGTCCTCTCTTTCTGGTCCATAGCATTAACATATACATATACATATAATATGCATTATTTCAATTCGACGATATATTATATGATAGAAAAATGATCATGTATATACTATAGTGTTAGTGATAATTATTTATAATGATTTAAATATTTGTCTACTTCACAGTTATAAGTTTCACGTTATTTATATTCTAATATTTATTGGGAACTCTCATGATAGTCAACTAGCGCCATTTGTATATTCGGTTTAATAGAGTAAATGAATGTTAATAATATTTCTGTACAGTAATTTAAATGCCCAAATACTTAACAATTGGTTTTATAATTTATAATGAGAGCCTTAGCATGTTTTGCACAATGTTAAGTGTTTTATTATTTAATGGAATCTCTTATGAGAGGAACTAGCGCCTAATATTATAATTTATAACCCACCCTCATCTAAATGTTACTTTTGAATATTATAAATACTACTATACAAGGGTTAGACTGGGGTTTCTGTTACGAGTTGTGGATCAGTAAGCATCTAAGTGGAAGTGCTGCCCAAATAATTCCTGACAATAGGTAATGTAATTAGTTATTTTTGTTACTACCAAAAAATATTCAAATAAAAGTTTATAAATAAAAATGCATGACCAATCATAAATTAAAACTATAATCATTTTCGAATGTCGCTTTGGGTATCAACCTTTGCTTCACTTAAGTATTTGTGAATTAAAAAAAAATGTTTTCCTTTCGAGCTTATGATCGTAGTGACGTACGTTCCTGACAACATATTACCTTGAAAACACCTTGACCAGGTAGGTATTTGAATATTTTTTCTATTTTTAGATGGTTGTGTTGAATTACAATTTTATTATTATCAAGTAGTAGGTATATGTAGTAAGTAGCAAGTATTTAGTAATTTAACATGATTTTTCAACAACGAATTCAAAACAGCATCCAACAATGTGTTCGAAACAATTAGATAATTTTGAATTTTATTATATTATATAACAAGACATTTAAATTATTCAATATCTTGACCTTTGAAAAAGATAAATCTAGCTGACAACTATGTATTATTCCATTAGTGGAAAAATTCAAAGAAATTTAATTTTGTCAACATATTCGAGCTTAATTCCAAAAATCCGGCAAGTAGTTGTTTTAAATCAAATCACAGTGTTGTTTCAAACTTTATGGTTTTGGCGTTACCAATACATTCAGGATCATTAAGAATCAAATCAAATCGTCAATTAAGAAAAGCATTTTAGAATAACTGATTTCCTGTTTATTTTAAATTTATAAATGTGCAAAGTCCTAATTATAAATTTATTTAATAAGAATTCTTAGGGATTTTTATTCTAATGTTTTTACAATATGAATCCAATTTTGGCGCCATTTTAAATTGTAAGGATGCTAACTGACAATCAACAGATGAGCAAAAAAGAATCTACTACTTACTTTTATTACTTTAATATGTTATAAAATTATTAAAATGTAAAAATAATTATAACAAAAAAATATATACATTTTTTAAAAGCTTTTCTAATTCAATTGTTCGTATCATCAATTTATACTTAAAATTTAAAGACGTTAAACGTCAGTCTTACGTTTATTGATTCTCCTTTTTGTCAACAGTATAGGAGTTTTACACAAATAATAATATTCTACCGCCCTAAACTATCCTATCTATGATGTCGACTCTTTTAATATTCATCCTATAATGTGGAGTGTTTGTTATAGTTGTGCTCGGCTCTTGTTGTAACTATTTGTAAATATTCGGTAATAAGCTAGGAACGATCGGTAATTATATCGAAAAAAAAAACTTGTGCATATATTTCGTATTATTTCTAAATATATTTCACACAAAAAATCGTATTCTTTTAGACATACCTACTAAAATTTTATAGTGAGTTAAGTTGAAGGTGTAAAAGCAAGCTAATTTCGAAATATGATATTTGTGGAATATACTGTCCACATTTTCTCAATGGAGGCCGTAAATTTAAGATTTTATTAAAATAAATAATACTAGATTTCAACTTTACACGTTACTAGAAAAACGTTTCATCTCTTAATAGTTGTAAAAATGAATGATGATATAAATGATTATCTGCCATCTTTATTGAATCCAAGAGCCATTCAGAGAAACAGTGATTTATCACAAACTCAGGTAAAAAACTTGTCTAAATTACCATTCCTCCTTCTATAATAATCAGATTTTAATGTCGATTTTATGAACTAATTATTTTCCAACATATTATATTAAAAAAATGTAAAATTTTATAAATGTAGCAATTAACTTCTCGATATATAGAAGATTTATTTCCCAAGCAAAAAGAGACCACCACAAATATATTTCATGTGTTATCAAAAAAATAATCGAAATATTTTATATACTCAGGTCTGACAATTTTTCAATTATTATCATACAATTTTTCTCCGAATGAAGGCAACAAGCTTACTTTTCATTCATATAATATTCTACCATTAAATTCCCTTTAAATTTAAGCCACAAATACATAGCAATATAAGTATAGAATTCTTTTTCTTGTACATGTGTAATAAAATGAAAAAAGACAGACAAAAGTGTGAATGTGGTTTTTTTTCCAATTACAGGTTTCTTTGTCGCTACGAACAGGTAAAATTAAATTAAATCAACATCTAGGTGAGGTAAGTATTTAGTATATTAAGAAAATAAAATACATGTGTAATTATGTTTTCAGATACTAAAATGTTACTTTTATACTGTTACTACATTGTTATAACTGTCTCATACATCACATAGTAGGTTAAATATATTTTTCAGGTTTCCCGATTTGAAGAGGTAACTACATCTGAACTGCCTCCCACTACCATGGAAGGTGTATCAAGTATTACATGTAAAGATAATAGCCAATTAGGAATTACTCCTATCGCTGAACTTAATAATGATAGACCCGTCTCGCTCAATTTTAACAATATAAACATAGATGTTCCTAAACCTAACACCGATGACAATGATAATGACAATAATCACAATTCTGTGATACTATTATTGTTACAAGAACCCAGTATGTGTAGTGATACCACTCTTCTGTATGAAGAAAATAAAATTCCCATCACTTCAACATCGTCTGTTGCCAATTTTAACAATACAATTGTCACTTCAAATAATAATATGGAAATTGCTGATGATTGCAAAGAAGAAAATGAAGCTATGGATAATGTTGACTGTGTTAATGCTGAAAGCTGTCAAAAATCTGACGAGTCAACATTAGATGTGAACAATTTGACTGCTAAACTCAAGCCATCAAAGAGAAAATCTGTCTCTGCCAACTTAGAAATTAAAAAACAAAAGTTGACACATACAGATGATGGAGAAGAGGAATTAAAAGTTCTTATTTTAAACGCAAACGCCATTGAGAAACTATCCCCTGTCATTATACAACCACAAAATTATAAATTAGTGAAACGAAAAATTCGTGATAGAAGTACATTGAAAAATAAAGTTTGCAAAGCGTGTGAGACATATAATGGGAAAAGTGTTAGAGGCAATTTAAAACAGAAACCAATAGATAGTTATTTCAATAGTGCTTACCATCTGAGGTCTTATACTAAGAGGTTAAAGGATAATGTTGACTCAGTTAATCACGCACTAGCCGCGGTGCGTGATGACGCTCAGGAAATGAGCAAAAATTTGGGTATAGCCGACCTCAAATGCGATATAGGCCGGTCGTTAAAGGAGCGCAAAAATGACAAATTACCAAAGCTATTGCCGTATTCAGCGCCAGCTAAGCGGGATATCAAGGCGTCCATGTCGGAGGCGCCCAGCGGTTTGTCGCCGAGAAATAGACAGGATAGCCTAGGCTCCCACTCGCCGAAAAAAAACGCTGACTCCATTCAGCTCGGTCTGGGATTGAAGACGAAGTCAAATAAAACAAGCGTCAATCGAAACATTCCACATTATAAAATTGTCGCAGGTAAAGAAGTTTCATTGGAGTTTACCAAATATTGTGTTCTGTAGAAGCTATTGTATGTTATATAAAATTATCTTTAGAGTTTAAATCGTTTCGTTGATAATTAATACTAATTGAAGAACTTTCACCAGGGACGCATTTTGCCGTCGATGCATTCTCATACGGCGATATACCCAACGTCAAGCATTACTTCCTGACGCATTTCCATTCCGACCATTATTCGGGTTTAAAGAAGAATTTCAACAAATTGATTTTCTGCTCACAAATAACAGGTATGTTTATTATGATTTAAGTAAATTTAATATGTGATTGACCAAATTTATGACTTTTCTGTTTATTATTTCAGCGGATTTATGCATTTCGCGTTTGGGCGTTAATTTGAAATGCTTTCACGTTATAAACGTCGGTGAAACTATAAAAATTGAGGGTGTGGAGGTCACAGCCGTTGACGCTAATCAGTAAGTGCACCAGAATATTGAATCTATCATTAATTAGACATAATGGACTGAACTACCAATCAAAGTTCACATGTACTTTGAAGACATTTATTTATTTCTTGCATAGGTATCTAAATAACACTGACAGTCAGAAAATTGCATAAATAATCCAGTGATTTCATCAAATTTTCATCAAAGTGTTTTCCAAAACATAAGGCGAATTTGTTTCTAGCTGCCCTGGTGCTTTGATGTTGGTATTCACTTTGCCAAATGGTAAAACACTTCTGCATACTGGGGATTTTAGGGCCTGTCCTCCTATGGAGTCATATCCTGTTTTTTGGAACAAAGATATACACACAATATATCTTGATACAACGTGAGTTTTTTGTTGAAATCTTATATAAACTGTGATAGTGTTTAGACAAAAAAAGTACCAAAACTCAAGACCATTTTGTCAATAATCATTTGTTTTTTATATAGCTATTGCAATCCTCGCTACGATTTTCCAACGCAAGATCAAAGCTTGGAGATGGCTCTGTATATCCTGAGACAAAAGAAAGTTAGCCTAGAGAAGGCCGGGAAGCTGTTTTCATCTGTACTCATTGTGTGCGGAACTTACACCATTGGTATGTAATTGTTAAATGGATTTGTGCACTTAAATCTGATGGATCACTTTTGTACCTCATTAATACATCTTCATGCTTAGTCTGATCTCTCAATAACTAACTATAAAAATACTTCGAATTATGTATGTCCAGGATGATAAACCAGATGAATGATGTTAGTTATATTATACTATATATATTTTATCATCATTATCATATAAATTTCTTATCAAACTCCTTGTGGGTGCATATATTGTAATCTATTACTCAACTCTTCAATCATAATGAAATGGGCTGGAATTCTTATACATTATTCTATATGGTTTTATTTGTTCTAGGTAAGGAGAAGTTCTTCCTTGGTCTGGCTCGTCGTGTGGGTTGTTCAGTGTGGGCTTGTCCGGAGAAGGACCGCGTGTTGCAAGCGGTGGAGGGTCGCAGCTTCAATCACTCGCAACCAGCCAGCTGTCAGCTACATGTGGTACCTATGAGGGATCTCGTGCATGAGGTAATGTATGAACAATTAAACAGATGTATCGGATTCATTGTGTGATTGAAACTTTAGGATGAGAATTTAGTCTTCTACAGGATTTTATTTGATATGACCTCTAATTTATTCTCTTAATATACACAGCATGTCAATTTATTTTTTCTACCAGATTCTATTTGATATGACTTTGGCTGTTTCTCTTAATCTACACAGTATTATAATTTATTTTTTCTATCAGATTCTATTTGATCCTAATTTTGCTCTGCCCATATTTAAATAGACCAGTGAAAAAGCAATGATATTAATATAAATTTGAAATTTACAGAAATTACAGACATATCTGGAAAGCCTGAAGGGATCGTTTAGCGAAGTTGTTGCTTTCAAACCCAGTGGCTGGGAAAATGGTAGAAATTCATCCGTGCAAAAGGACTCTGTTACAATACATGGTATGCTGTTTTAATATTTTAATTAAAGTCTCTATAAATTATTGTTATATGTTAAATGAGAATTCCTTTGCAAGTAGTAATTATTATATTACTTGTTGTTTAAGCAAATTAGAACTTTAAAAAGGCTTAGATATTGAAATTAATAGATGAAAATAAATGTCTTTTCATTTCAGGTATACCATACAGTGAACATTCTAGTTTTTCGGAAATGATTAGATTTGTCAAATTTCTTAAGCCCAAACAAGTTGTACCCATAGTTGATATTTCTGGTGGGATTAAAACTGTGCAGGTAAATATTTTTTTTCTCTTTAAAATTACTTAATACTAAAATTTTATACTCTGGTCCTAATGCTAACTTTTAATTATTTTAATAATTTTGGGCAGATATGTGGAAATGCCGCATCATTATGAAGTTGTATTGCACATAAGTCAATAATCATATATTTTAATGACTTATACTTTTGTTATACTTTTCAGAAGTTTTTTCCCTGCCCATTGGTTAATAGAGAAGATATGCAGTGTCAAAGTCGGGTCACAGACTTCTTCACACACGGCTGATCTAATTGATTATTAATGGTATATTGGAAATTGTAAAAGAAATGGTTTCAGTTTTCCTATGTGACTTTAGTATTATACCTTATAGACGACACTTGATTACAGTCCACATGACTTCTAATGCTATAAATGTATCTAGACATAATCAATAAGAAAGTGTGTGAATTATCATATGTTCTTGTACTTTTCCTTGTCTGAAATCAATAAAATGCTTGTATACAAACTCTGGTCTACTTTTGGAATATGTATGTGTAAAATTTCATATGTAACAGATTTTTTAGAAGCCAAATATGCTTTTACTTAAACTTAATTGTTTGTATGTATAAAGCATTTTTTTTATTAATTGTGATTACAAAGATTAGTAAATTGGACAGGATAGTTTAATTAGACTAATTTTCTCAATGTGTTGGTACATAAGATGTAATTGTTCTATGTCAAATTAGAAAATTTGAGTTGTATTGATTGTATAAATGTATAAGCAAAATTGGAAACCATTGTATTAGTAGCTGTTGTAACTGAATGTTTATTTATTTCAGATGCCATTTGTTATAAATGTGACAGCCACCATAACCAAAGTTCCCACTGTGATTTTTTTGATATAACTGTAGAGTTATTTATGATTTGTTACTATGTATTTAATTAAACAGTATTGTGCCTGTCTGTGCATATATTGTTTATGTATTAACAACCTGTTATTTTTATTTATTATTTTTTTTATATATCAAAATGTAAAAATAAAAAGTATGATTGCATTTAATCTAGCCATTTATTCTTAATATATTTAACATCTGAACTTTCAGCCATAAACTTTAGGGTTTTCCAAAGGGTTATCGCAATTCTTGTATCCTTTGCATGTCAGCATTTGGGACAGAGTTAATTTGTACCAGTGTTTTATAGACGGTAGAACTTTATCCACTATGTTATCCATTTCATACAAGTCTGTGCTCAAGTCATACATTTCTGTGAAATTCTGGAAAAATATATACACATAGATTAATTGACAGAAGTTTTATACTATGAACCAGATGTTTACAATATTTTTAATACCATTTTACATACAATAACAAGAAATAATCTTATAAAATTTTAGTTACATTATAAATTATTACCTCAGAATCTGCAAAGCTGCAGTATTTCATGTTGAATCTTTGCGAAATGTGTCTCAAACAGGCGAATGTGTTATTCTTGGCGTCTTGGCACTTGCAATCGTATTGCGGATAACATTGCTGAAAGAAAATGTTTAGTATAATTAATACCAAATAACAATTGATAAAGCTTAGCTATGCGAATTTAAGTTTGATAATATGCGAGACATTTTTTGATTGAATAAGCTTTGCTTTTGACTTTCCTTCTTAAGTCAGTTTCGTTGATGAAATTTATAATATTTAAACTGAAAAATATAATTTCCTAAATGTGACTTCAGGCGAAGTTGTTAATTTTTAAACATGTCAAAGTTACTCCCAGATTCTCCTCCATTCTTATATGATATTGGTAGAATATACTGAGCACGTCTTTGCACAGATGAAGGCCAATTTTAAAACCTATCCCTATATATAATCCCTACTAATATTATAAATGCGAAAGTAACTCTGTCTGTTACTCTTTCACGCCTAAACCACTTCACTGATTTTAATGGCATTTGGTACAGACAGAGTTAACCTTGAGAAAGAACATAGGATAGTTTTTATCTCAGACTTTGGAAAAGTTCTCTTAGAAACGCGATATAACCGAACTCCACGCGGGCGGAAAGCTAGTTCAATATATAACCTACCGCTAGATGTTCGCTGTCATATTTCCAAGGGCAGCTTGGATCTACAGAGTCGTCTCTGCCCTCTCCGTAGTATTCTACCAGCATGTATCTTTCTATGTCCTGAGCGATTGTAATCTGTCTTCCGTCCATAGTCCTAGGAGGTGATAAACCAGCTAACGCCATAATAGTTGGAGCTATATCAATATTTAATACTGGCTGGCTGTCAGTGTAGTTCTTTGGGATGTTCGGACCGCGTATAAGCAACGGGACTTTGACATCCGCTTCGTAGGGCTGCCGTTTGTCATACACTTGCGAGAATTGACCTGTGGGTTATTTTTAAAATGTTCAGAAATTTAACAAATAACTTTATAGGATTTTGAATAAGTATTTTTTTACTTTAAATTTTGCTTAACATTATTAAAAAACATAGAGCAATTCCACGATTCCTTTTAATCTAAGAATAACAAAGTGTTTACAAAAATATCGAAAGGTTTATTTTTTATATAATCACACTATTAATTATAAGTTCAAGGAATAGAATAGAGAAATGGGATATCTCACCAATATGATAGCCATTATCCGATGTGAATATTAAATATGTGTTCTGCAAGAGGCCATTCGAGTCCAATGATTCAACCACATCAGCTACCATTTCGTCAACCGCCAATAGACTCTCCCACCTCGATCTATAAACTCTGTCTAATTCAGGCATCATTTTTTCAGGGAGAGGCGAAGGTGGCATTCTTATGAGCCAATGTTTGTTCTGAAACATTTATTATAAAATATTGAACTTGTATTGTTTATCTGTGAATTAAGACTTGAGTATCTATATATTCAACTGTCATTTAGAGCCAGAAGCTTCATTATTCAAATTTTTTCATAAAGTATTCATATCTTTATTTGTATTGCTTGTTATTATATAGTTATTTCCTGCTCCTTACATCGTCAGCTATATTAAAGTTAGGCGTCTTTAGTACTGTGGTGTTCTCATAGAAGCCGCGATGTCTCTCAGCTGGTGTCGCTGGCTGGTGGGGTGCGGGCGGCGCCAAAACCATCAGAAAAGGACGCGACTCAGTTTGATTCTCGATATAATTCAAGCTTAGGTCACGCTATAAAAAAATAATAATAAAAATGTCAATCGCTGTACTTATTCCGCCATCATTGGTGACGTCATCAACATTGGGCGCTGATCTGTGATCAAATTATGTTTTAATTTTTAAATCGAATTATACAATTTGTTAAGTCAATACTTTGAACGTTCTACCGGTTATAAAATAAAAAAAATGTATATTCTCGTAAATTCATGGCTGTCTCTCGTAAATAAATTTCTACTCACTATAATATCAGTAAGATATAAGTCTGTTGAAAATGTTGGTACACCATTATTAGATATAGTGTAGTTGTAATACACAGAGTTCCCAACGAGTCCGTGCCACTCTGACCAGCCTGGAGGTACTTGTTCAGGGCCGCCAGAAGCATGAACGCCGTACTGGAATTAATTTATATATATAATATATACAACCTCTTTTAAAAAACCTCAAATGAGATCCCAATTATCTACATTGATGTATATTTTTAAAATTCGTTGAAAAATATAAGCATTTAAAAAGATATGTAATTTAAAAAAACTAGGTATATAAAATTTTAGTCTACGTTGCACTTTATAGCATATTATTTTATTCAAAATATTAAATGATTTCAATAATTATTCGTTTGGTTTTTAAACGAATTTGACATATAGGTCTTATAAAAAAAAGAAAGATTTCATTGTTCGCAGTCCTTGGTTATTAGCAAATAAAAATTAAGTATAAAATATAATTATACATATATAAGTCACTTATGAACGGTTATTTATTTTAATTTATTATAAATAAACATGAACAAACTGATTACAATATTTTCGCATTTGACATTTCAAAAGAATGTTTTTCTCGCATATTTTATGTGCGTCATAATAATTTTGCAAAAAGTTATTTATGACGCTTCATTTCAGCAATAACTCGTTTTATTTAAATAGACAGGACAACAGGTACCTAATAAACAAACAACCGGAGATTTGTCACTAAAGTTCCCCTTTAGACCGGTTCAATTACGTAATCGTATCGGAACACGAAAATTGCATATGAGACATTAATAGGGTTAAGGCCATCGCATGAGGCAACTGATACAAACAAAATCTGTGTGTTGAAATTTAAGCCTTGATATATTACCATAAAGATGACTTTAAATTGTAGATTCGTTAGTAAAAATGGTAAAATGCAGTGCAATACTATGTACCTATAGGACCTACTTTCTAGACGTTCTAGTTAAGTCATTGTCAACCTAATTACGGTTGGATTTTTAAAAGAAAATGAATTCGCGTTTGATGCTGTGCATAAAGTAGTCCTTAACTTCGTTAAGTGTAACATGTGTAAGCTTTTAACATTTTTAACTTGCTTTTTAGTGTACCAAGATTTATGTGGATGCCATAAAAATTGTGGTATTGTACTAATTATCGAAATAATTTACCATTATTATTCGCTTGCAATGTGCACGTAATAGCCGTTACAAATAAAATGACCTTTGATAAGAATTTTATCGTTTGTACGTAAATAAAGGAAACTTCTTACTGGCTTTCTATACACGAGAATTATTCACACATCACAAACTTTCTAGCTTTTATAAGTTTTCTAAAATCCCGTTACTATGCGCCAGTTTGAATTTTATAATTTAAATATATTTACCTATGTGTAAGATCCTAACTTAGAATTTTACTCACCTCGTTTAAATATTTTCCCGCGTAAAACGTATTGTATCCCGCGTCTTTTAGTGCTGTGGCGAAAGTGCGTTTTTCGAATTTCCTCCAAACACGACTATAACAACCACCGCTGATACTGTTATTCCACGTCATATGGTTGTGGACGTGAAGCCCTGTTAGGAAACTGGCTCTACTTGGACAGCATATTGGTGAAGTAACGTACTGCGTGAAAATATTTATCGTTTTAGCAATTTTCACTTTGACATGATCCAAAATATTTAGGTAAATATCTGTGCTGGTTATAATTTTTGGGTCAACACAAATAAAGATAGACCCGTTATTAACATCGAAAGTATAATTGTCAGTTTAAAGGCTATTTACGTTACTTTCGTTCTACTAGTATTTAAAAAGTGAATTCGTCATTTAGTTAAATTGTATTTAATTCTCGAGATGAATTAAGAATAAGAAATCGATAACAAAATATATTTTATACAAAAAACATTATTTTTAGTATTAACAAATTAGGTGACGAAACTTACAGAGTTCGTAAACGTGGTTCCTTCGTTTCCGATGAAACGTTTGACACTTTGCATTGGTTTCTGAAAATAACACACAAATAAAACGACCATTTCTATTTCTCAGTAAATCATTTATTACGTCACATTCTACTAACCATACCGTCCAAAACTACATCCTGATCGTCTGTTAGAATCACTACGAAATTAGGTTTATCCTGACACGCACTAAACGGAGCAAATAATAACGCGAGTAATATATAACTATACATTTTCACGGGCTATTAATAGAAAATAATAAATTATTGCGGTACGGCGGGCATCAGTTCTAGACCGGAGCAGTTGCTAGCGATAACAACGCCTACTGAGAAGAAGCCAACACTCTTCACAACCGACCTGAAAGATAATGACAGATCAATAAACTTATAAAATAAACAGAGAGCAACTAACGCAATGTATTTTGGATATAATTCAGATTGAGATAAATACGTTATTTATATATATAGATATATATATATATATATATATATATATATTTACTTGTTCTTAATAAACTCATTTTAAAATTATTGGATGAGATAAGTTTAATTTTTTTGATATATAGATGTTTTTTAGATTTATACTCCTTTACACAGATGCAATAATGTTTTCAATATGAATTAGCATTTTTTATTTAATAGTCTCTTTTAAAATTTAGTCACACATACATATTGATAATATTTAAGAAAAAAAATATTAAAAAAGTGAAAATGTTACCAAAAGAACATGATTAATTTTTTTCATACAAAAAATCTATAGTTTCCTTTATTCTTTGAATGCTATGCTATGGGGGATTAAAACTACCTTTCAACTTTCAAGTGAATTATTTTCATATATTTTAAAAATAAAATTTATATAAAGTCTGGAAGCAAAAAAACTATGAGTGAAATATAATATTATGCAAGCTAGGTTCATGTTTGAAAGAGTCTATTATCAACATGTGGTAATACAGTTAGTGTCTTATCCATAACAAAGCATTCATTATAAGATATTTAATATTTGTAATATATAGACTTAAGTATGACATTAGTATCATCAACATTCTAAAATGACAGAGGTGAAACTATATAAGTCATAGTTTATCATTTTATATGCTCTGCAAAACCTTTATATATAAAAGAGGTGTGCTAGTTACAATATTTTTAACTCAAGAACAGTTGTAAAAGTTTTGCTGATAACACAGCACAACAAAATCAAACTTTTTTTTTGTTGCATGGAGTTTTTCTACTGTTGTTTACTAATTTGGGTGCGCTAATTTTAAATCTGACCTCAGATTTTTTGTAGCAGCTCTAGTTAGTCAGATACAGGTCCGTCTTGAATTTACATAAGTTGTCAATAGTTTCTACCAATAGCGGTGTAACTTAACTAGTCCCTTTATAAATTTCATTATGTCTTCCTCAAGAAGGACGTGTTTAAATAATCCTGAGTGTTTTTGTGCTATTTGCGGATAATATATGTTCCAAAAATATCGTTTAAGTGTGTTAGACTTTGTAAAAAAGGCATACTTTGACTACTTTGGGTTTCCGTTGCCATCAAACGCTAAACCTTTGATACCAATTTTGTTATGTAAAAGTTGTATTGAATCTTTGCATTTATTGGCAAACAAAAAAAGACCAAATTTTAAGTACAAATCTCCCATGATATGGCGTGAACCACCCAACCATCATAACGACTGTTATTTTTGTGTAACGAAAATCATAGGAATAAACCATAAAAATTGCTCTAAGTGGATATATTCAAACTAAAAATCTGTCGTAAGAACAGTCTTGAGTATTAATGACACATCAACACCACAGCAGCCTTGTAGATATTCGGAAATCCAGACCAGTGCAGCGGACAAACCGAAACGACGACAGTGGTAGAGACAATAGTCCCCTATTACTAAATAAAGAGGATCTAAGTGACTTGATCAGGGATCTTGGCCTGTCTAAAAGTTGATAGATGATAAAAATTTCATCAACCATATGACAGCTATTGAGAAATATGCATGAGAATAGTTTGTTTGAGTAGTGAGAATTTTTTTGAGAATACTAAGTCTGACGGCTACATTCAGCACGTTGAACAGTTGCTGATACACTTCCAGCGGCTCGGATGCAACATGACTATTAAGCTTCACTATCTTCACAACCATCTAGACTATTTTCCTGAAAATCTAAGTGACCTAAGCGAGGAACAAGGAGAGCGCGTTCAACAGGATATTCGCTCTATGAAGAACAGGTATCAGGGGTACTGGAAGGAATATATGATGGCTGGTTATTGTTGGAGCATTCAAAATAGTACTCATGATACATCTCACCCTAGAAAATCCACAAAAAGGAAATTTTATTCAGACTAAATATATTTAATAATTTTTTTAAACTTAAATTTTGTGCATTTTTAATGAAAAACCCTGTCTCTTCATAACTCCAAAACTAGAGCTGCTACATAAAAACGGCATATATTTTTGAAATCAGCACGGAAAAACTATTCAGATTCATGTAAAAAATCTCATGCAACAGACATGCTGTTTTCCAGTGTAATTAGTGGAAAGACAGCCTAGAACTACAAAAATGAAATATGATACTTTTCAACAAATCAAAAGAAAAAAAAGTTGATAAAATCCTAAATTTTCTTATTTACGTTCTTTGCCTTTAAGGAGGAACAGAGATCACTCAATCAGCTACACATTTCTAATTTTGAAACTAATACAGACAAAGTCATGAGTAAAAACTAGTATATGACAAATCTTCCTTCATATCACATACTTCATTTTAAATAAAACAATGTGTTCAGTATTTATATGTATAATTAAAATATATACTATATAGCAACATTTTTTTTTATGTCACAATATTCTTCTATATTGCATAATTTTTTTGACATTTTTTATGTCAAAAACTAACATGGATTTTTAATGCAAGGAAATGCTATGAATAGGAGTATTATTTTCATCTATATAATAACTATTCCTACTGAAGTTTAGCTCATAAGGGAATAATTTGAGTCTTGCTAGTGACCTTGAAATAAATAAATAGGTGCCAGACAATAGATAACAATATAAGAATTTATTTTACTTCAAAAAGGTTTTATTTACAGAACAAACAATGATAGCTTCAGAGTAACAATTTTTTTATTCCAATTGATAATTTTTTTTTTGCAATTAACTACATATACAGCCGATATTTATATATTTCATTTCAATAAAGAAAAGTATGTGATTAAAATTAATTTAAATGTGCAAATGTAACATCATCCTTGAAAGTTAATAATTATGACAAACAGATTCTTTAACAGGGTTTTTTTAAAAGAATGATATCATTTTATTGGTTCCAAATTCGGGTTTTTATTATTTATATAAAGAATTTTATATGTTATGTGTATACGTAGCGTTCTATTTTAGTATTAAACGAAAAACGAGTCCTGTATTGCAGTCATACTATACAAATATGAGTGGTGTGGCTTTTCCAAACATTGGATATAAATAAAAAACTATAGGAAACATTCTACAACCAATAAATATCTACAATCAATGTTCTCAACAAACCAAACTATTTAAAATAAAAGAAAATATTGATTTCAAATATAATTATCCGTATTGTAATCAAATTACATTAGGTTTACAAATTTTAGGTTATGTACTCACCACTTAAAAGGATCATAGTAGAAATCTTTGACAAATGCAACGAAACCTTTGTTGGTCATTATATTAAAACGATATATACAAATTTAAGTACGAGGATTATTTTATAAATGAATGTTTAATTTCCGAGTACAACCTTTAATTTTTGGAATTGGCTACTGACACTTACAGATAACAGAATACTACATTTGACAATGAAAAAAAGAATCATCTCTAGCCATAGACAACTTTCCTAAAATCTTTTTTAAAAATACAATTTATCAATGAATAGATACTGCTTTCAGACATTTCTGATTTGGAATAAAAATATTTTAATATAAAATTAATATTGATAATAAAGGTTTTATAGATTCTAACTCTACAGCGACTCTACATAGATTCTACAGCGCAATAAATTCAATTCTATCTTATAACACAGAGAATTTTTAAAATAGAACAATATAATATATTTTTAATGATTATTCGAAATTGTATTAACAATCCATTTTGTATAAGTTGATACTTTTGTATAAACACCCGGATAGTATCTTATTCCGCATGCATGGCCAAATGAAACTAATCCTACTACAACTCCTTTATAAATCAATGGCCCTCCAGAATCACCGAAGCAGCCATCAACTCCGTCAATATCCGTTCGTCCTGCACACAACATGGAGTCGGTAATAATAGCTCCAATAGTTTTGTAACGTCTTTTACAATCTTCAAGATCTATGGTCAACATGGTCGTATATTGCAGTTGATTTGGCTGTGGACCGTCTCTCTGCAAAAAAAAAAAACATAAAATTTACATTATAATACATAGTACAAGTTATATGTTAATAAATATAATATCAACGTATTTATTAATAACTTCAACTCACCTCTGTAGCTCCCCAACCGACCAAGGTGCATATGGAGTTAGGCATAATTTCTGTACCAGGTTTTACAATTGTACCCTGTCTTACAGAATTCCCAATAAGGAATTTTTTATTTACAACAATTACCGCAATGTCGTTTATATACAAGTTCTTGTCAAAACCTTCGTGAGAAATTATTTTTTTTACACTATGAAGTGTTCCACCGCCATTACGATAGGACGATCCTACTCGAACTTTCCAGTGTTGCGGTAGAGAATAACTGTAACAAAATAAAAATGAAATGGATACATTATAATGTTATTTCATAAAATATCAAAGATATACATATTTGAATCCTTATTTTATATTTTACGGGTTCTTAAATTTTCATGAATAAAAAATGTTTTTACTCACTTTCTGCTAGTTTCTCGATTGTATTGAAAGCAATGTGCCGTAGATATAACATGTCTTGAAGTAAGAACGACTCCTGCACAATGCTGCACATACTGCTGATTGCCCCAAGCGTCTAGCAGCATTTGAGCAAGTATAGGAAACTGTTGGATTGTTGTTGGCGAACCATTGAGAACTCTTAAGAATTCATATTGGGAATTAACTGAAAATATATTTTGAAATTTATATTAATTTGTAATATAATTAAGAAAACGCAACATATTTCAAACTATAAGCTAGTAACTACGGAAAGTTATTCACAGATACGAAAACTCATTTTATTAATTAAAAAAAAATGTATATAGAAATAGGAAAACTTAAAATATAGTACATTAATAGTTTATGAACAATTACAATTAAAAAATAAATGATAAACTTGCCTTCTATGATCAACAGAAATGACAGAAAATTCCTCAACAACGAGATATACATTTTTGCAGTAGGTACTTTAGATAGACACAGTCCGCACTCCTTCTTTGTACTGATGAATGAATTTATTTTACTTTCTTGATACTACAGAGCGTAAAGCTTCATTACTGTTAACGAGAAACTGAAGTATTTTATAGTGTGCCTGATGTGTTTTGATATTTGATTATTATTTAATAAAGTTGTTTACGTACCTTTAACTTTTACAATTTCATATATAACAAAGGTTAATGAAATACCATTTACATTATAAGGGAAATATTAATATAATTTATGTCGTTTATGGCTATATGAGAACATGATTTCACACTTGCAAACCTTTGGTTATGTATCAAAACATATAAACCGAAGTACAATCTCTAAGTGAAATAAAAGTATGAACATCAATCATGTCATTAAGTGGTTTGAAACTTAGACTAGGTACTTATAATAATGATATTTTAATGCCACGTTAAATCTATCTAGGCTTATTGTTATCCGGAAAAAACAACAAACTCGTCCAAAATGTTTCACTACCTTCTTGTATATTTTTTGGTCAGAAAATATTTCTCTGACTGATTTTAATGGGACTGTAAAAATATTAGTATTTTTGTTTGACAAAGGTTTGGGTAAACCATTTAACCGTATTAAATACAATAGAGCCCGAAATTTTGTGAATAAAATAAATATTCCTATAAAATCCTTTTTCATATAATTTCTCTCTTGTAAATTTTTGTCATGTACCTACCTACCAAAGGTATACTTAGTACTAGTTTTACATCGTCAATTTAAACAGACAGTATCATCGTATTCATTCTCAGATATGGACTTGTAAATAATCTTATTGACGTGGATACATAAGATTGAAAAGAATACCTTATTTTGTTTCGTTTCTTTAAGAGCTTCCTTTGAAAATGTAAGCTCGTAAGGAGAGTGCTGATACATTAAATCCTTTTAAACTTCAATAAATGTCACACATGCGAACAAAGGAACGTAATTAAGATCCTAGAAAAATAGCGCCAAGAAAATGATTGAAAACTATTCTTCATACTTATAGTGTGTATTAACGTTGTGTTTTGTCTTGGCTTTTATAATTAAAAAGGAATGTTTTTGTTATTAAATAATAACAAGTTAATTCATGTTTATTGTATAACAACATTTTTTATCGATATATTACGTACTCATTTCTAGATACCTATTTGTGCATAATTCGTCAAGGTCGACAAAAAAATTTGCTTTAAGTTTTCTTTCAGCACAAAAGCTACATACAAGATTTCATGAGAATTAATTATTTACATTTTGCTTAATTCATAAGAAATAGACGAATACAAACTTAGAATAAGACTTGCAACATAGAAAGGATAAGTTTTCTTTTTGGACATTCGTAAACATAGGAAGCTAGCTGATTTTAGATAGCTTTCAAATGTTTGAAGTTATAAACCGATCTTGATAAGTCTCCTTACAACTTTCTTGTAAAATCAGATCTTAGTACTACTAAGAAATTGAACATTGGATACATACACATTCTAACAGATGTTTATTATTTTTAACGTTTTAAATATTTACTGTTTGATTTATACAATAATATAGGATTAATTTTATCAAACTTATCCTGGGTATACAACTATACCTACTTGAAAACTTCATGAATAATAATTCTAGAAAGGTGACTGTATAAAATATTTAGGTTATTTTATTTTCTTAATACAAATGTTAGTTTAAATGTAATAGTTCACCATTTTTTTTCATGAATATATTATACAATAAAACTTGATATTATTATTACAAATTAGTAGAACGTATTGTTACATAAAAAATACACACATTTTTGTAAATATTGTGTTGCGTTATTTCGAGCATAATTATTAATTATTCTATTACAATATTTTTGAAAATACGATTTATGAAATTAATAATCATAACCTCATACTACAAAATGTTTAAATCAAACCTAATTTTGAGCTATTGTGTAATATGTACCTAGTAAGAATCGAATATTCGTGTGATGACGAACATATAAGTGAAGACACATTTAAATATCAAAAATAATGATAGACCAATTCCACCCCTGATTAAATTCAACTATTTATAGTACCTATCTATATGTATAAAAGAGAGTTGTGTTTATTACATCAACTATGTTTGAAAATTGGCATATGGTTGAAAATTGGATGAGGGATAGCTTAGAACCAAAGGATATTTAATTATGTTTGTTGTTTATATCTAAACAAAAAAAAACTTAATAAACTCCAATATCTGATTATTTATGGCCTCTAGGGTATTTATAGGGAATTCTCTTGGTCAGCTATTCCTATACAACCAATTCCGAAATTAAGCGAACGACGTCGGGGGAAAAACCAGTACCTATTTTAGAAATGAAACCCTTTTTCGGGTTACTTTGTGTGATCACGGTTGCTGAAAAGAAACAAAATCGTTGGAGATTGCAAAATAAAAAGAAACGGTTAGAATTCAGAGAATTTAGACTCATTTAATAGTGTACACATGAAAACCTAAGATATCTTTGTATGTTTATGTATGTATGAGTATGTTACACCTTAAAAATTAATAAAATACATGTAGCTCTACACTAACTGACTCCTTTGAATAATTGAATAGGTACACATATATTTCTAGATTTTATGAAACACTACAGTTGTCTGAGTTAATTTTGAATTTGAAGGTGGAAATATCATATGAATATAAATTATTTATATATTTTTGATTAATCAATTAATAAAGCTTGTATATTATTAATAAAATTGTATAAAATGTATTGTAAGCATTATGGTTCATGAATAGCAATATTCTTCTTAATATCTAAACATATCATTTACTGTATGTGGAACAAATGTCTAGCACACTGTTTTGTTTCTTGACTTCTGTCCTTAAGTTGTGTACTTATACCTTAAATACTTTCTTTTAATAAAACATATATATTGCTTAATACAGATAAAGCAAACATCCAGAAATTCAAGTTGCACTGGTGCATGTGATGTGAGTGAGATTAGAAAATCTATTAATAACTTACATAATCTATAAAACCACATATATTTAAAATATATCAAATTGAATCAGAATTATGTTTGTAAATAATTAGTAAACTTAATGTAAAGAAAGATGACCCAAAAGTATATAGGCACATTTTAATAAAACAGAAACAGTTTGATTTAAACATTTAATTCTACTATATCAACAAGTTATGTACATCATTGTATGATACCCTTATTTCTTATGAGGGCTTGTATCTGATTGTCGATACTCGTGTAATACTTCATATGACCTAAGAGTTTTTGTACTTTTTTAAGGTCACCTTCAAAGAATGCTTTTGACAATTGCTTTTGTAGATCATTTATAATTGTTCTGTTCTCTTTATTTAATTTTAAGATTTCTTCTTTGGTTTCTGCGTTTTCTACTTCTTCATTCTTTTCCATGATTTTTATTAGAAATTCTTGGCCGACCTCCGTGTTTTCAGAGATTTCTTTTCCCCTTAACTTCAGCATGTATATACCTAAAATAAAACATAATTATTATTAACGATTCAATCTTAAATAATTCAAGAGTTTATTAGTTTAAATCCCTAAATGAATAAATTAATTTTTGTATCATCGGTTTCAACTAGCAATCTGTTTCTTTGCATTTTATGGACTTTGTACCTTTATACTTGTGGATGTATGCACAAATAAATTTTCCAAATGAAATTTACATTAAAAATATTGTAGCATGGTAGAAGTTAGTTTTACTCTAATCTGTTTATCTTTATCCCACTAATATATTGATTGTAGTATTTCCTTTTGGTGTAAATATTATAGGTAAATAGATATAGAATAAAGGACAGGTAAATATTATAAAGAGCTACTCTTTATAATATTTACCAGGTACTTCAAACCCTAGGTCAATATTACACAATTATTCATATAAGAAGTCATGATCAGTATAATTATTGATAAGTTAATGATTTAACATACCTCTTGATAAAGGTTCTAGTAATGTTTTATAAGCATCATTCACTAGTGAGGAATATTGTGCTGAAATCTCCTGTTCTTCTTTGATTCTGAAACAAATTATCTTCTATATTATACTAGTAAACTAACTGCCTTCAATTGTAATTTTTTCACATACCTATTTGCGTATTTATCTGGATGCAAATGTTTCTGTAAATCCTTATAATTTCTTGCTAAATCATTTTCATTTAAGTCATATGTTTCTTTCACACCAAGAACTTGAAAATAATTATCTAATTTCTCCGGCCTTTGTAGAACTTTACAGTTTGAACAAAATAGATTTGATATAAGATTAGTGACATTTTGCTTACAAGACCAACATGTGTAATTCTTAATACTCCTTATTCTGTTATACTTAGTGAAATTTAAGACTATACTCGCTTTATTCATATCTGAATTCAATAAAATACTTCAGGAATGATGATTATGATGCAATTGTGTGACAATATTATATGCAAATAATAAAGGTCGAAATAGGATGACGCAATTTTCAAACGAATGTATTAGGTACCTATATATTACGTTTTGGTTTACGACACATTTTATATTGTATTTATTACTTATAGTTGATACTTGATAGATACTTTCGTGACTTGTGTCAAAATCAGCTGATTAGCAACAAAGTTCAAAAAGGCATTTCACTGTATTCATTAGTAATTTGCACTTGTTTATCTTAATTCTATAAAACAATAATGTCAATATTTAAATTAAATTAATTCATATTTCTTTTTGAAGTGATATTATTACATACATTTTTATTTCTTACTAATTAATTGTTCTTTAAAATTGTTCACTCTTTATATATAAAACAAGATGATATTAATAACTTTAATTAACAAGATATATTTATGTATCTAAATTATATTTAATATTTAATTGACTGGCATATTTTAACAACATTTTTTAAACAAGCTTGTAACATTTTCACTAATGTCAAATGTCAATAATATAAACATTGAACTTCAAGCTTTACTTCCTTATTTTTAAATATAAAGAATATGAAATCTTTTACTTTTAAATATGCATTAATTTTTTACTTTTTTATCTTAAATTCGTATTAATTATATTTTAACACATTTTAACAACAAATATTTTTTTATATCAAGGATGGTGTCATATTTTACAGTTGATGCTAGTGGCGAAGGTACGAATTACCAAAAAGAAATATCAAATATGATGCACGGGTTCGGCGATAATCCGAATCCGAATGCCGCTACTGTTGTTTTAGTCGAAAACATAGTTTTGCAACAATTGAGAATGATGTTACAAGAAGCTAGTAACAATGCAATAAAGAGAGGCGCCAAATCGATATCAAATTGCGATATTATATATTTAATGAGAAAAAATCCCGTCAAACTGAAAAGGCTTTACGATTATCAAATAAAGTTGGACCGTATTGACAAGAATCGTCAATCAGCTCCCAGTATTACTACAGAAACCATATTGCCAGGTATTATTTTAGAAGACGATAAAGATCCTACTATAAAGAAGAAACGCACTCATATTTACGTCATAGAGGAGATGGATGAAACCGATGAAGTAAAGCAAATTAAATTTGACCGCATAGAGTATTTGAGGAAAGTGCGTGCAGCAAAAATAACAGAAGCTATGTCCTTTGAGAAGTATGAAGCATATCATAAAGCTAGATGTACTTCATTCCGTTCTGGTTATGGTCTGAGCAAGGGTTTTGTTAAACTAGAAAAATGGGTCAATCCTACAAAAGAATTGAAGATTAATCAGAATGCTTTAGAAGTCTTGTGTTTCTTAGCATATGAAACAGTAGCTGATATTGTTGATGCTGTATTTTTAATACGACAAGATGGTAAGAAAAAGTATGGAGATCCGTTCAGTAAGTTTGAAGGGGGACATTTCTGTAATCCACAGAGTTTAAACAATGCTGTATATATTAAAACTGGCTATGAAGGTGTACCAGCAATTACAGTTGCTGAGGTGAGAGAAGTTTTGAGGAGATATTACACACCAACAGTTGGTTTACGAGGACAGTTTTATAGAAGCATGAGTTTGGATCTACCTTCAAGATATATTGCTATATAACAACAGTTATTCCCAATATATATGATATATAAAGCTTTTAAAATGATTTTTATTTCATTCACTCCATATTTATCAAGATATTTAAAACAAATATACATTATCATAATTAATTAAAATTGCGTCATTGGGTCTTGAATTTGACGGCATATTAAAAACATATCTTTATTATTTTAGAAGCACAAATATGTGACAAAAATAAAAAATATATGTAATACAATACAATTGGTTTGTTATATTGCTGATACCTAATATTAGATAGTGTCCTAACATAGAATGTTGCTAATTCACCCAAACATCTTTGTCTTCAGTGGTTTGTGTGACATTCATTAATCATATATCTTATTATATCTCTAAAGATAAATGAGATTCAAGACAGTTGATGTTTAGATTGACAATCATTACAAACTTTTGCTACGAAACTTACTGAGTTTGATATAATTTATCTATGTATATAAGTTATATTTTTATTGTATTTATTATATGGAGTAAATGTATAGTAATTGTTCACAATCGGAACACTTTGTTTCCTTAACTAGTTTTGGTAGTATGTACGTCTTTAAATATATAATGTAGCTATAAATAATATATATAGATGGTAGGTTCTCATGAATTTCTTAACTCAATCATGATATTTCAAAGGACACGTGTGCTTGCAATGGCTATGAGTTATCCAACAATTATGAAACTGAATAAGTTCAACGTCCATAGAGGCGATGAGTTACACAGGCATCCATATTTTGAGAGCAGTTTGTTGAAAATTTAATTTTCCTACCAAAGTTACGGCCTGTGATATTGAAGGAATACGAGCGACCTCGAAGGAGGTATTATTTATTTATGGAACCGTCACGCTTCAGGAGTTTTATCTTTATTTCCGTGGATATCGTAATTGAGATAATAGGAAAAAAGTAATTGAAGGATTTATTAATACCATGGGTTTTACTTTTGCGACATATATATATTATTAGATAATGTTGGATCACTAAAATTCTTACATAGGTAAGTAGCTACTTAATAAAGATTTTTTTAAGTAACTTTAATATAGAAATCATTCCAAAGGGTAGTAAAGTTGAAATATTTTTCTGGATGTTATTAACAATTAATATTTTTAAAATTAAAGAATACAGCTTTATAAAAATTTGTTATTTTTACGTGGTCAAATACTTACGTAGGCTAGTTGAAACTCTTTGAGATATTTTGTCACATTGTTTTGAATTTGTGTGTAAACATATCAGTTACTACCAGCAATATATAGCTAACGATGACAATAATAGTTAAATTCCAACGATTTGGTAAAATTTTCTCTACATATTTTAACAATAAATATTTTTTTATGATAAAACAGAAAATTCTGTTTTATAATATATTTTTAAATACCAAAGGTCCTTGTATTATTATGAGGCTTCTTTAATTAAAGTTGTTATTTGAACTAAAAATATACGGATCGTATAATATGATCTTTTTTCTGAATCCCACGGGGTTATATTATTTATGGATAAAAGGAAAGGTCGGTTTGACATATCAAGTTAAAATAATAACTACCTAATACATACATTCTAGAATGTAACGAAATAAATTCGTATGTTTGTATGTAAACAGAACCGGAACAATTTGTATATGAAGATAATTAAGTTCATATATCGATTTAACTACAAAGTCGCTAAAGCAGTTTATTTCATAATTTTTGGTTTGATGTAGTTTTCTCAACAAAATGTATGTTTAATTTTTAGTAAAGTTTCTTTTAAAACGCTTCTTGTCATTGTTTAAAAAGCTTGACTAATAGGTATATTACACTTAAATGATGTTCTGAATCATTATCAGTCTTTGGAGTGATATGTAAATATTTAATTTAGGTATATCTATCAATCATTATAGAGAAAAAAAAGAGCTCATAATAATAGTAGGTATAAATGAATTGTGTAGTAAAATGCTACAATAAAATAAAACATCGTATCGTTTAAAATTGTTTTGAATAAAATAGAAACATTAGTGTTTATTCGCAAGTTGACATCAAACTATTTGATACGAAATTCAGCAATACTGCACCCTAACTGCCTTTAGGAGCAATGCATGGCATTATTTAGCTTTGTTGATTAGTATTCCCGGCTTTCGGCCACTGTCTGTTTCCCTAGTTATATCGATTGGATCAACGTTAAAATGAGAGCTTATCGCTTGAATTTCTCGTATTTCATATTCAAATTTTAGTGCTTATTTATAATAATGATTTAAAAATGACAGTGTAACCGATTAGAGGAAAAGGTACGATGTGTTAAACTGTTATAATAATGTGTTATATATTATAGTTTTAAAAATGATATTCTTCAAAGTTTTGAAGCAGTAGGACATAATAGGGCAAATATATTTACAGGGTATTTAAATTTTAACAGTTTTAATGTATGAGTTTACAATTTTAGTATGTACCTAGGTTTTGAATGTTTCTTTCTTCAGACAATAATATTAACCATATGGGTAAACTTCAAGGGTTTTCAAGATGTGAGGCATGTGGTTGAAATATACGAGGACCCTTCATTCTCTAGAGATACTCCAACTCGGTACAGTCCCAATTCTATCTACTAATTGAGTGGCCAAAGGTATGCCCAATTGGCAATTGGCTATCGTAAGGCCGCTATGCTTTGGCCAAGAGATCTGTGACACGTACTGTATATTTAACGATATTAATATTAATTATATGAGTAATAAATGCTTTCTACAATACCTAACGAATATATATTAAACTATATTAAACTTCTAAAATATTACAATGTTTCTTAAAAGTTATAATATCCAATTTTTAATTTTACGATAGGTTTTAGGAAAACGATTCTTAAAATTCTAAAACATTCACTCACAATTTAATATTTACGATTCATAAATGTAGGAAAATTGAAAAATATTAAAAAATCTATTGAATGTTCAAAAGTCTATTAAATAAACATACTGACATGATGCACTAAACCTAAACGGGAGGAGTGCTTTGTAAAAGAATTAGTTTTCATACTATGTATTTTTAAAATGCCAATATCAATGTTGTTTTACAGTTGCTAGCGCTAACTTACTATAGAAGTGATAATGGAATTTTATAAAATAAAAAGAAAACTCATTCGTTTGACATTTGTTTGACAAAAACAATTGTCATTTTACCATTATCCTGGTATGAGTGAAACGCTTAATTGTGCTGATACTCTTACAAGTTACATTGCTTGACCGATGGAGTTACATAAATAATTCAAAACCACCGCAAGAAAACTGGCTTTCGAAAGGAAAAAACCGCATAGCAATCGGTCGATCCATTGGAATGTGATGACAGCACATACAGCTAAAGACACAGACACAGACAGACGTCAATTTGAAATAGTACTAAACAAATTGTGTAGGTGGTTAAAATAGGAGTACAAAATTCATATTGAAAATTGATCAAATGTGTTATTAACGATATAAATGTCTTTGTAAATATGTTGTAACATATTAAATAAATTAAAAAAAATATCAAGATTACATTGTTATTTGACTATTTTTATAGCATAATAATTTGAATGAAAAAATTAGAACCGTTCTAAGGACGTTGTTTCAAAATTAACTTAAAAAGGGTTCTTTTAATTAAGAATTTTCAATTAAGATCTTTTAGAATTCCTTTACAATGTTTCGATATTTGAAATAGTTACTACTTGGTAGTTAAGTATACTTACGATAAGTACTATAGGTGAAACAAGGAATTAGCATGTCTATAATAGTTCAGTGTACTTTGTGTACAGATTGAAGATGGAATGGTAGACAAACAGGGTGTTCAGTTTACGATAATTCAAACAATTTACAACAAATAATTCCTTTTTCCACTTTTTTATTTTACTGCGGTCTAAAATTCAAGATAATTTTAGATCTGGATATTGTCATATTGCTAATAATTTAAGTTTATATCACTTACACAAAAAATCGCACTTGTAAATGACGACTTACGCGTATATATTGGACAAACAGTAATTCTGAAATATTTTTATTAGAATATACCATAACAGTAAAAAATCAATTAATCATAATAATAAGTATACGATATCATTAAATTGACGTTATTGTACTATCACCGATATAAAATATATGTCATTCCAAGATCATTCTAATGCATTCCTTTCTATTTGGTTAAACGAGACTTAGTAAGTAATGAGTTTCAACCAGCAAACCCCTAATTGTTCTTTATATTTTTAATACGACGTCGGTAAGTCATTTTATAGTATGTCATTTAGGGAGGAATATTTTATAGATGAGTCTTAATAATATATTAATACATTAGCGCATATAACAACCCTCGTATTTGTTGCTCAAAGAGAAGTTAATATATAAGCCCCATTTCTGTTAACTTTGCATCGATGGTACGTCTAAGAGGCTCTTGAAAGATTTAAAGCAGACTTTGTATTATTAAATAACATATTATATTTTGAATGTATATTTTCTCGGAATTGGAATTAATAACTAAAATTTAGTGAAGCATTACGTTTTTGTTTATGTAATTTTGATTAAAAATATACTAATTGTAGTATCGAAAAGCTATTAATTTAAACATATCAAAACAGTTTAAGTGACCTTTAGATATGCCTTTTCTGTTCTGGTTTTTAGAAACTTCAAGACTGGAAATGAAGGAAAAATACAATGTTATGGTTATAAGTCATGATTTTAGTGTCATTCTGGCACTATAACGATGTGTACATGAAACTTTATCCAAATAGGAATATAATTTTTCGTACACGTGACGCATTGTCCAAAACAATAGCATTTAGAATAATGACAATGCGTTTGTCCATTTTAAATCTGAGCGTTAAAAATGACACTATTTTAGTAATAAAATATATATCTTAATCAATTTTATTTATATAAATGGATACAATTTTTTAATTATACAATATACATTACTACTTATGGTAAAGGGGATTTCGTTTTTTACAATTTTAATTAAAACAACGTATGGAGTAATTACGGAATAAGTAATTAATGAATTTTGCAATTTAGTTATG